TGAAAAGTGTTTTACTTCCAGAGGGAAAGACTGACTTCTTTGCTCGCAAGCGCCTGGTCGTACAAGACAAGAACAAGTACAACACACCCAAGTACCGGATGATTGTCCGTTTCTCTAACAGGGACATCGTCTGCCAGGTGAGCACGCACTTAGATAACCCTGTTTTCGTTCAAAGGGGGACAGGGCTCTGTTTTTTTTTTACCTGTCAGCATGTTTGAATGGACAGGGATGTTTATATGCACTCTTAAAATCAACCTCATTGAGGTATTTCAAGGAAAAATAAATTGTAAAAAGCCTTTTCTGACAAACTTAAAATCCAAAATAAATGGTCAAATCAACATGTGGAGTACTCCAGTTATTGCTGGATGTTTTGGTCACATCATGGCATGCGGCAACAAACACCAGTCAGGACTCCCTTACAATGTATGCAAGTAATAGAAACGAAGTCAGGCATGATTTTTGTTGTGAATGTGCTGTAATTCCATGATAACTTGTGATTGTGTCGCAGATCGCCTATGCCAAGATCGAGGGTGATATGATCGTGTGTGCGGCCTACTCACACGAGCTGCCAAAATACGGGGTCTCCGTGGGCTTGACGAACTACGCAGCAGCCTACTGCACTGGTCTGCTGCTGGCCCGCAGAGTACGTATGAACTTGGTTGTACATACTTGCATGCCCAGTCTCATATTGAGCTCAAATCTTAACTTCCTGGGTATGAAGAGATTCAGTTAATTGCAAAGGCCCCTGTTCTTAAATCCATGTAAACCTTTTCAAGATAACTTCTCAGCTGTTACTGGGTCATTGGGATATCAAATAATTGGCCACAGGAAAAATATAAGAATGTTTGCATAGGTGAACTTGTGGGAATTAACTAAAACTAGTTTGTTCCTGAACAAGATGTAGCTCTTGACCCTTTTTATTTATTTATTTTTGTCTGTCCTCAGCTGCTGAACAAGTTTGGCCTGGATAAAGTTTACGAAGGCCAGGTGGAGGTGACCGGCGATGAGTTCAATGTGGAGAGCATTGATGGTCAGCCGGGCGCTTTCACCTGCTACCTGGACGCTGGGCTTGCTAGAACCACCACAGGCAACAAGGTGTTCGGTGCTCTGAAGGGAGCTGTGGATGGAGGCCTGTCCATCCCACACAGGTAACCTGTCCCACATGTTGGATTAGATTGAATGCTGTGCTTGGCAATGTGTGAGGGGGGGAGGGAGGGGGGCTTTGTTCTTCTGGTGAGATGTTTTTCGGGGCGGAGGGGCAGAATCCTAACATTACATTAGAGGCTCCTTACATGCTTACTATTAACTAATTTGACTGAGTCTGCTGCATTGTGTTAAGAACAGATGGACTAACTTATTAGAGTGAACTTGAATAGATTAGTTTTGGACAAAGTTGTGGAGTAGTGTTTATGATGCCAACCATTCATCTACGGATTGATTCGGGAATCGTCTCTGCAGGGAAAAGCCGGCAGAAATCCTTCCTCCAGTGCATGATCATGTTTTGATTCAGAATGTGTAGAAGAGGAGGCCGCCACAAATCAATGTATCGGAAAGACTGAACATTGATGGTTGGATTTCATTTAGGACACTTTACGGTTGCAGCGTTAATGTTAGTGACACCTGTGGTGTAATTAGCCTTTTTATGCAGGCTATCTTTAAAAAGCTCTTAAGTTTCAGTGTGCAGTCAACCTGTCATGACCGAGCGCGGAAATGCTGAGACCGCGAGTTTTTGTAGCGTGGTGAATGCAACTTTGGAGTGAAACTGTAAAATTCACTCCATCTGTCAAAGTGATGTGAATATAATTCAAGGCATGTGCTGAGACTGTTTTGTTGTTGAGCTAAAGTTAGTTTCATCTCGTTTGTCAACTGCTTTAAGTGCACTGATTTACTGCACTGATTTTTAATTGTTTTGTACACTATCTAAATATTGGCCATAAAGTACTCTCGGTAAATGCTTAAAATCAGTAGTCCATTAGCTTATACCTGATCCAGACAGCAATGATGCTGAAACCACAGCAAAAGTCTATCTGAATGGGATGTGTCATCCAGCCTTCCTCTACACCGTCCTTCTGACCACTGTTAAGGCAATACCAGTCAGACTTTGACCATTTCAAGTAAAAAAAACAGGCATTGTTATTAGGGATGGGAATGATTTAATTACATTTACCTTTGGGGAGGGGAAAAAAGTGTTAAAAAAAAAATGTTCAGCTCATAAATTGTCCTTACCCTCCATTTTCTCACAAATGCCTGATCAGTATATGTGCAACTCTTAACAGGGGTGAGAGGGAAGCAAGATGACTCAGACTCACTCCTTATCAACTTCATCAACTCAGGAACGAAACAATGGGTTTAACCTTTTATTTTATTTTTTTTTAAGTGAGTTGCTAGATTTACTAGCCCGTCGGGGCATTTTACTTGCCTCAGGCTTCCTGTCTGGTCTTCTAGCAGTGGCTATTAAATAGGTTATTATGTTTATTTTCAGGTTCAAAATAGTTTGTCATACTGCACATTGCTGCAGCTCCTCTTTTCACCCTGCGTCGAAGGCTTCATTTTAGCTATGGAGTGATGCATCTTACCTCTGCAAGATCTATTTTGGGAGTTGCACATGTGCAGTTCCTAGTTGAGGACTACTAGCCAATCAGAAGCAGAGCAGGGCGGGTCATGAGAAGCCGGTAAACATGGCGTTGGTTGTTCCCCATACCAGCTTAGCAACATGGACTGGAGCAAGAGTTTCAGAGTGGTGAGTTATTAATCTGCAACAAAAGTATCTTTCATCCATAAAGTTTTAACTGAGCTCTGTCTCTACATCACAGGAACAACTTTATGTCCACTGACTGCCTGGAGGGTAGCTAGTGTTTGGAAGGGAGAGGAGAGGCAGCAGGCGGAGTGTTTTTGAGGGAGTGTCGGACTAGCCGCTTGGCGAGCCTTACGACGCGCATTTTGCTGTGATGTCACAGAACAAAAGGAAAAGGAGGAGTTTTCTGTGGGAGATGGGAACTCCCTTTGGGCTGGACTTAAGGCTTTTTCACTTTACAAACCTAATACATGCACTTAAAAGATATAGAACTCAATAAAGGAGCATAATATGACCTAAGTTTAGTCACATTAAAAAAATACAGTGCATGCAATATCTAAAGCACTTAAACACACACTGGCGTACACAGATCTTAATTGTATACTGGCAGTACCGAGAATACTGAGACATTCAGAGAGTAAACCTTATGAGGATGTATAGTGTAAAAAAAATAAAACACCATTGTTTCTGGGTATCAAGTGAACTGAAATGTCAGTTTGGTTACAAAAGATCCATATAGCAGGTTCAGTTCCCAGTAGATCTAATACCCTGTTTCCACCCAGCATTGATAAATCATGCATTTCACTTGCTGTGTAGTGGATCTCCTTGGCCATGTGACTTTTTTTTATTCTCTCTGCAATTATGTGTAAAGCAACCTTGGTTCTTGTGAAAGGCGCTATTTAAATAGAAGTTGTTGTTTATGTGTAGGTAGTCTAGTTTTCTCATGAAGGCTGATTCCTTCAGGAGAAAACTAGACTACTTTCTACACATCTGACTAGAACAATTAATACCTAATGTGAATGCAGAAAGTGTGAGTTGTAGTAATACAGGTATAAATGGGCCTAATACAAATTGTACGCTACCATAATGCAATGCTGTGTTCATTGTGCCTTCAATTAATTGTGCTTGGAACTTTCTTTCCCCAGCACCAAGCGCTTCCCTGGGTATGATCCGGAGAGCAAGGAGTTCAACGCTGAGGTCCACCGCAAGCACATCATGGGCATCAACGTGTCGGAGTACATGAGCTACCTGATGGAGGAGGATGAGGACGCTTACAAGAAGCAGTTCTCCCGCTTCATCAAGAATGGAGTCGCCCCTGATTCGGCAAGTCCTCTTCATGTATAGTTAAATTTCCACTCTCTGACGCTGTACACACCAGCCTTCGGGTTTCTGGCACCCAAGCCCCCTGGCAATTTGTGCTGTTTTGAGACTTGCTCTTGTGTTTTGCCACCGCCGCCAAGCAAAAGTACTTCTTAAACGACGCATCGATGAATCGTCAATCTATCGAAGCTTCGAATACTAAAATATTCCTTAGCTGCAGCCCTAATCCCAATGACAGAATGCAGATCTTAAATGTTGCTTTTAAATGCATCAGGCCCCGGTAGCTTCATTGCAGATGTCTTGATGCCGTTTTGATCCTTCATCAGGTTTAGAATTTCCTTACATTGCATGACATGTCCTTAGACTAATAATAATGGACACAATGGCTGACGAATCTACTGATTAATCACAGTAAGTCATGGCTTATTAATCACTACATAAAAGGCAGAACATTTACCCAATCAAAATCTTCTAGTTCAGGATTTCATGTGAATTCCAAGATTTGCCTTCAATTGTCCAACATGGGAAACTGCATATTGGGCTTGTTGAATAACATGTATCAGATGAGGAAAATGACTAAGCTCAAAAGACAGTTGGTTCTTGACTTTACCTGCAAAAAACATGTACTGAATGCTTTAAACAGTGTTTAGCTCAGCTTAACGTGAGTGAAGAATACATTGTACCCTGGAGTTTGACAGGTCATCTTTCTTTCAGATTGAGGAAATGTACAAAAAGGCTCACGCTAGCATTCGGGAGAACCCAGTGCATGAAAAGAAGCCTCCCAAAGAAGTCAAAAAGAAGAGGTGAGACATTTTTTAATTCTGAATAGATATGTTCAGTTAAAAGCTGGAGTAAAACATTCACGAGTGGGGGTTATATTCCTGCAGTCTGGGCTTAATTGTTCAAGGAATATGGCAACTCATGCATATTACCAATGGTACAATTTGGAATGTAATTGAGACACTTGAAAGTTACAGAAGACTTAAAAAAAAATAAAAATAAAGAAAAACACAGCCTGTCTGTTTTGAAGCAGTCTTAGCAGTCTCTGCAGATATTCAAAAACTACAAATGCTTATTGTGCTCGTTTTGTGACCTAGGTGGAACCGTGCCAAGCTCTCTCTGGCCCAGAGGAAAGACCGTGTCGCCCAGAAGAAGGCGAGCTTCCTCCGGGCTCAGGAGCAGGAGGCGTCAGATTGAGGTGTTGGTCTGCTCCGTTCCAAATGACAAATTTTGTTGAAATAAATCTATCGAAAAGAATCACGTCCTCGTGTACTTTGTCATAATTGCACTTAATGTATCCTGTATTGGCAGTGTGAGGGGCTTCTTATAAACCCCTTGGGGATTTTATTGTCATAGGATAGCTGGTCACTCACTGGCCACTCGATGGCATCATGGTTTACAGGCTGATTTGGTAGTTGCAAACATACAGTCATTTGTCTTAAGTGAGTTGCGTGTGTGAAGTACCTGGTCTATGTTCTGATGAAGGGTGAATAAAAAAAAAAAAAAATTGCTAACAAACTACTAGACAGTGCACTGCAAAAGGTTAAGCAAGCACTCAGTATTTAGGCATATCATTTATTGATTTGTTATTATGGTTTCAAAAACTTGTACTTTCCATTTTGCTCCATTATGTTTATTTATTACATGATTAAATATGAAGGACATTCAGTGACAAGTATTTAAAAACTTGAGGGGACAGGATTCGGTCTTTGTGCCTCTGTGTTTATTAGTGCTTATTTATTAGGAGTCTTTGGTATGAGAGATCTTCTTCCATAGCAAAGTCTTGAGATTGTTCAGAATTAGAGAGTGCTCAATTTCCATCTGTTCTGCTGAACCTTTCAGTGCAATGCAAGCGTACAGCTGCTTCTCGAGCTCCTCCCTCACATCAGACGGGGCACCTCTCAGAATGTAGTCCTTGAGCGCTTCGCAGGCTTTGGCTAAGTTTGGCCTGGTGACCTCGGGTGTGCAGCGGTGCTTGGTGATGTCACAGGAAGTGAGGCAGTCCACTCCGTAGAGACAATCCTCGTCCACATCGCACCGCTGCTGCCTAATGCCTTCTTGGAAGATGGCTTCAGGGACAATGTACCGTGCGTCCATCACCTTCAGGTCATGGCGATCGTTGTAGCCAAAACTGATGGCACTCACGTCGCACATGAGGAAGCTGCCAAAAGTGCCGTGGAAAACGTCCTCGACCAGTTCCAGCAGTCCGATGGAGATCTTGGCCTTGTGTGGCCAGGAGGGGGTGAACCACTGGTCCATGCTGCGGCGCAGACCGGCAGGAATCCACACCTCGATGATCCAGGGTAGGCTGATGCCGTACAGCGGAGAATATGGCACCTTCTCCATCACATACAGGTCTCCGCAGAAGCCCAGTAACTTTGGCGTGTGCCCTCTGTCTTGCAGGACTAATGCCAACAGGAATTCATTGAGCTGCAACAGGGCCCACGTGGAGCGAGCCTCGGGCAGAGAGATGTGACCGTCCTTATTGGCATCTGTTATAGACAGTACTTGGGTTGCCAGGTCTGCAAGGTTGGCCTGATCTCCTACTTTAGCCTGTAAAGAAAGAAAAAGGTTTTAAGACGAAGCAAGGTTCAGTCTCTGGTTCAGTTGATCTGGTGTTTAATGAGGCTTCATGACCTTTAGGTGGTTTTGGATCATCTCCCTGAACTTCTCCACAGAGGTCCCCTTGGTGGGCTTGTTGAAGGCCGCAGCCTCCTTCCTGGGCTCCATCTCACTGCCCAAATCATAGTGAGGCGTCTCGTCCATCTGGCACTTAATGACTCCTTCCAGGTCTCCCCAGCTGCCAGAGTACACCTAAAATAAAAAAAGAGAAGGCCTGAGGTGCAGCTTGATTAATACCAAGCAGGGTGGAGAGGGGTGTTGGATTTAAAAACAGACTGACCTGGCTGTTGGGCTTGGCAGTGAAGCACTTCCCCAGGTAAAGCGTGTCTTTCTCACACAGGCTGCTGCAGGCCGAGCCGTCAATGACTCCCTGTCTGTACTTGTCGCACTGAAAAATACAATGGAAATATCGGTGAACTGGAATGCGAAGGATGTCTGATTCTTGTGATGTGAGAAATAAATTACTCACTATTGAATTTTTGCAGTCGTGCCCACGACACAGCTCTGTGTAGGATGAGTACTCTACATACACGATCCAGCTCCCCACCAACACTGCCAGCCAGGAAAAGAACAGGTACTTCATATGTAGGTAGGAAAATCTGGCCTGTTGGAAACATTACAGTGAAATTTGTTTAGTTTTTTTTCTAGCAAAGCAGTGACCCTTGAGTTAACCTGACGATTCTTAGAAGCAGTATTAAGTCTGGGGACGCAGACTGGGGGGGGGGGGACAAAGTACAAAATCTGTTGTCTCTCACACCTTTGAGGTAAAATCACCCCAATAGCACTAACATTGGCACATTATCACCATATAAAGTTGCTTATTTAGACATCCAATAGACACAGTGCAACTGTAGAGTCAATCCACCAACCTCTGAGAAAAATATATATTAATCCTCTGCTCACCAGCTAGTCGCTGTGTCTGTCTGGTGTTGTGCAGAGTCTTATTGATTTTATCAGAGCTTTACTGTATCGCATCAAAGGAGATAGTACCTGAACATTCAGTGTCATCTGAAAGGCGGGATGCCTAGACTACCTGGAAACAGTGGCACTTCTCTTACTTCTGTGGATCACTTTGGCTAAAATCTTTGGATCATTATTAATGTTATGTGCTCAGCATGTGGTCTGTCAACCTTAAAGAAAATATATATATAAAAAAAGAGATAATGGTTACAAATGTGATAGTAAATACAGCAATATGTTCATTTATGTTGACAAAGCCATTTGACCTGAGTACATGCAACAGCTTCTAAATAGGTGCTCAGTAATTAACAGTAAATGTAGTCGTGGTTCAGCATAACAACAGTGGGACATTTAGAGCGACTCCAGACTCATTACGTTGTCCTTTTCTTTTCTTTCTAATTCCCCAGCTGATAAATACAGTCTGCTTGGATCCATAATGGCATTGCTCCAACTGGAGAACATTAGTGAAAAATAACAGACTTTTTAGCAGACCCGCATTCCCATCTATTAGTGATTTTTGCACTCAGTGTTTGACAGTGATGGACTCGCCCTGCTTCCACCCTCTTCCCCTTTCAGTTCCAATTTTCTTTATTGCCATAAGTCTCTCCATCTCTACTCACTTTCTCTCTCTCTCTCTCTCTCTCTCTCTCTGGAACTCTGCACTCCATCTTCCTCTGGGGCCGTTAAGTCCAACCTTTACAGTTTAACAGAAAATAGCTCTTTTCCCATACAGTCAACCTCATGAAAAAGAAAACTTAGAAGCACAACATGTGAGGTTCACTTTCAGTATTAAGAAATGGATTACATGTGTATTCGTCATTTGTATCGGCCTCTAAATGGATCTTTCATCCATTTTCGTCTTTTGACACCACAGATAATGCAGAATTCAAGCTTTCAGACAACCTATATATTTCACTCAAATCTAATTTCTCTCCATGCAGTGGCCTTTAATTGCATTTTAGTCTATATTATCTTCTAGTTTTGAGGAGCGAGGACAGATTATATCTGCCATTGCCACAAGGACAGAAGCTACCAGGAAGTCAGGTTTTTTTATTTATTTCTGAGAATTGTAGCAATCATGTCAATGGGTAAATGTAGGTCAAATATTCACTCTCCTTTTAACTCTCCTTTTTGTTGCTTCCAAATTGTGAGTTAAATATCTGGCTCTTTAGCTTACCAGCTCGTAGCTGACTTTGTCGTTTGGTGCTGGGCAGGAGCTTAAAGTGGTTTAACCAGAGCCTATTCTGCTGAAAACAGCTGCCGGCTAAAAAACGCAGTTGAGTGAATAACTTACGGGCCATAAAATCAAAACAGTGAGCTGAAAGACGTTAAACGCTCCATAGAGCTGAGAGGAACTGCAATGTCGGGTAATAATTCTCTGTGGGTTAATCGCTATGAGTGACTGCTTTCACATTTCATATAGTGATTTGATCAATTCTTAATGTAAAAATATTTTATATCAGTGTAGCTTTACATTAAGATTACATGAATTAAAAATATAATAAAGGGGTTTTGTATTTCTCCTCTGAAATTGTATTCTGGCGGCGTATAAGCATTGAAACAACACTTAAAGACACTTAAAAAGTTGCACTGGGGATTTTAGCTAACAATCTCACTACTTCCTACTCACTAAAATCCTGTGAAAGTCATGATTACCACTCACATCTTTGATTCTGATCTGCTCACGCTTCCTTTGTGGTTTCTGGTCTTGATTGCACTTTACAGTCTCCTCAATACTTTTTCAATAACTTTCTTACTTAGAACTTTCTTACTTTCTTATTTAGCTGTTACTGAAATAAGTCCCATCAACATATGTCTATATTACTGTATGTACATATAAATCATCTTACACCCACCAGACAGAAAATGATCCAATTAGCAATGACATGCTATTCAACCCTTGCTATTTAAATATGATTTCTGCTGCTTTATTCATTGATTGGTTTCCTTACAAATCTGCCCATGCAGGCCCGCAGTGCATTTAACAGCAATGACCACACGAGTAAGTGCTACGTCTACCTCCCAGTGATTTTTTCCATAGGTGAGATGCATCAACAGCGAAACCTTATGGAACAACACCCCACGGGGGAAAGAAATTTATGGTTGGCTTTTTTCTAATCAATAGTTTATGGCTTTCATTTCATCTCTGGCCAGTGCATTTCTATCTGTGGGATTACGTATTGACCGTTTGTGAAGGGAGAGAGTTACACAAACATGGCTAATGAGGCCATATTGATTGTGGCTACTGTGACAGCTATTAATTAGAGACTGACTGGGAACTGTGGCCATATGCTGAGGTGGGTGGAAAGAAATGTTCTGTCTTGATCTGGTTTAACTTTCCTCTACACCCACCCACAACATCTAATGGTAGCCCATGGGTTCAAACTCTGAACGTTCTGTGAAATGTCATACAAAGAATCAGTCGGTTACAAAGTGGTACCTGATGCTGAAGTACTGAGGCAGAGAGGAGATTGAAGCTGATCAAGAGCAGCATAATACTGTTCACACACTTGTTTTTTTGCAGGCTGCACACTATTCATCCATTATGTATGGTTATAAAGCTATCCCTCAGAGGTTGCCGCTTAATGGGCTGCTGTGTAGAGCGGAAAAAAGACATGAAAACAGAGAAACAAAAGATGGATCGGGCTGGAGGAGTGAATGACAGCAGATCTTTATAAAGAGTTTGCCTAATATCACTAACAAACATAAATACAGTATGTGTATAAAGAGGGGTGCAGATAAAATGTTAAAGTAAAGGACCAGCCTGGAGAGTTAAGGGCCAGTTGCAGTCCCAGCATGCCTCTCCACTTGTCACAGACTCTTTGCAGGAAAAAGGATGCCACACTGTCTGCACAGACACTACAAAGATCTGACTCATCACAGTCCAGACAGCAGGCTACCCACACCACCACAAACACTTCCACCACCACCTTCACCCCCACACACATCCAAAGCATGTATTTCCATGCTGACTCAATACTGCAGCATTAACACATAATGGATATTACACTCTGTCATGGGGATGTAAATCTAACAATCTAACATCAAGAGCATGGTGCTCACATACATACAATACACCCAATTAATGCAGAAATGTATTATTTCTGCAGGGACAGCTGCTTCCTGTCAGGGGAGCCCCCTCCCATATCTGAACCAACAAGTCATGTGCCAAATCTACCGTGTGGTTGCTTTACACACGGCTACAGCTGTGTCTGTGATGTGGAATGCATGCCAGTGTTTTTGCAGAATCTGTTGTAAAAGGATCCAACAAAATGTCAACAATTCGCAGTTTATGCAATTTAGTTAGGATCTGGACTTTAAGTTAAAGATGCGGTGCACTCACCTACAGAGAACTTCTGAGTCAGCCCATAATGAAATTGTGGGAATTTTTTACTAGTATTCTAAATCCTTCCTTTCCACCATTGCTGATGACATTTTGTACAAACAATGAGACTCGCATCCCATAGAAATGGAAATGAGATCAATTGTAATGATGTAAACATGGCTTGATTATTTGCTGCCAAAAAGTTATCAGAACGAGGAAAGCTCACCAGATGTCACCATACAGCACAAGCTTGACTGAAGGACTATAAGATATGGCCAGAAATTTTGCTTAAAATACGCAACCCAAAAAACCCCAACACGATCAATAGAATGCAAAGAAGTAACAGCTCAGACATCAAAAATGCTATGTATTGTGTTGCAGAGATATCTACTGAAGTTAGCATGCTAACCAGCTAGCCCTGTCCCGTCTTGTGTTGTAATACCACTTGTGCCTCAAGACGCAATAGTAAGTCACTGTAGGGTGAAGTCTGCCCTTAGTCCAACATGAGAGGATGCAGAAGTAGAGCTGCCCTGAGGGCGTGTCAATCAATGCTGCTGCACGAGCTGCTCTCCCTCATGCTTCCCGACCTTTCGTCCCTCTGCTACCTCTACTTTTTTGCCTCCTGCCACCATTTGATCTTCTCTGTCTCTGGCTAAGGTACACTGAATGTGAAACCGTCGTCGTCCGGGCGCACACAAAATCTCCCCCTACACTATGATGATTAGAAATAATTTCACTGCTGCTTGTCATTGTGTTTTTTAAATGACACATATTTGCACATATTATTTTATATCAGAGCAGGCACACGGGCAGGAGAGAATCCCCTCCCCGCAGATCCTCACACAGGAACTTCACTGTAGCAGAAGAAGCGACGCCCACAAATCCACAAAGACATAAAACCACTTCATTTGTGAGGTTGCTGAGGCTCTAACGTTACATGTGATTAGAAAAGAGCAGAGGAGCAGAATCTTTTACAGTGTGGCCGGGCTGAGGGGGAGGAGGAGAGGAAATGCTGCCTCCTATTTGTTTGGAGCGTGTGACCAGGAATTACGTATTGTACCTTTAAACTGAAGCATCTCTGCAGTATGATATGAAGATATAAGAGACAAAAATATGTTTGAATCACTTGTTAAGGGAAGTAATAGGTGTGAAGGAATTTAGGTGTACAATAACAGGTGTCCCCAGGTCACGTTAGGGTCAATTGCTGAGCTTAAGTAAAGCAAAGGTGACAGCCAGAGACTCTCCAAAACAGTAGGTCAGACTCCGTCTCTCCTCTCTGCCTGCTTGGTCGACTGACTGACACGGCTGCCTTGATAATTATGCACTATTATATATCTGTTAGGTTGAAATGATCTTTACTTTGTTTCATTACAGACTGACTGACTGGCTCTGTTTAGGAAGTGTTGCCTATAGAAACAATAACCTTATTTGTACCGTAGTGAATCTCTGTACTTCTAGGAAGGATAAATATTCAGATTTGGTGTTAGCAGTGTTCACACTGTACCTCCTCGGCCTGGCTCAATAAACAACGCTGTATAAGTCTTCATCAGTCTCTGTAACATCTTCATCTTACCTGAACCTGGCTCACTTAATTTCCACAACAAGGGGAAAATAAGCATGTGCAGGAGATTGTGCTCATTCAAACGTGTGTATTTGATTGTAATAAATGTACCTGATTGTAAAATTTAAATATCAAAAAACAAACAGAATCTACGTATGAACAAGAGCATAATTTCCGGCTTAAAGTACTTGTCAGTTGTTGTATTTCAGTGGAAATAGCTTCTCTCCAAGGATCACTGAATGACACTTCTTAAGTTGTCACTGGAAGGCTGAGGTGGCCTAGAAAACTGTCTGATGCTGGTGGCGGTCCCTTGAGACTGGCTGTTTCTCCTCCTCACTGCACTTGACAGTTTTTGTCACTAACATGCAAGGGCACAGGCAGGGAGCGCGCGGCAGCAGCTGAGATGAGACGATGTTTGGCCAAAATTAGCGACTCAAATGGCCGTGCCCAAGTGTCTCCAAGATACATACAATTAGGAAAATATTCAGTCAGCAGTTTGGTGGTCTGACGATGCACGCTGGCATTTTCACCATAGCCAGGGAATGTGCTCAAGTTGACATTTCTGTTAATGACCTAACAATGTGGGTCATGTATTTGGATTCCTGAGACCTCCACATGTCCTTGAGGAGCTTCCCTTTGCAAAGTGTAATTTTACTTATGAGGAATGCCACTGAGGACTTCACCTAATTTTGCTCACATCAAACTGTTACATAATGTTCCTCAACATACTCCAAGATGAGGATGACCAGGGCAGCCTAGTAGGTATATGATTTCTAATATTCACTTGCATGGCATGAAACGTCAGCCCACAAAGTGGTGACTTGCATGCTGAAAACCACAGAAGAACTAGGGAAACAGTGTATGGCGTGTGTAATGTAAGATGATAATAAAGTTTTGCAGCATGAGAAACAGTCTCTTTTGAACGTGTGACTGTACCAGCTAGATGGACGTGGTTGCTACAGCAACAGGGATCAAGGGGATGGTTTATTCCCGTCGATCCGCCGCGCGTCAAGTGACTTTATGATTCAGTCTGAAAAGGCTCCACAGTAATACATGAAAATCTAAATGCATAAGGTCAAATGATAAGTATAGGCTACAACAGTAATCAGCCTCATCGCTGCCTGTATCTAGCGGTAACATCCGAGTGTATAGCCTAAAGATTTACATCCACATAGCAGGGGTAGATTCCCAATTGCACTGTAGCCTACACCAGAGTGATGAGGGATTTCCCAGAAGCTTACCTGGATGTACAGAGGCTTTTTGAAGAACCCCAGTGGAAACAGACCTCTTGCCATGGCAAATGCAGAACATCTCACAAAAGCTGCTGAAGGAAGAAATTCGGCGTACACTTCGTACGGTAGGTATCAGGCAACGCCTATCGGGCTAAACCTGGAAATGTTCCAAATAAAAAACATTACTAATTCTCCGGGCAGCACCGTGAATGTGCGTTCGGGTGCAGCGAGGCAGCAGACCGAGCTGCGCCGCCGACTGCAGCGAAGTGAGGCTCATATTGGCCGTGAAAACTTCTGGGGGGGGGGGGGGGGGTTGACCAATTAGGCTACAGGAGGAGGATGGGTTGCAACTGCAACCTTTTGTGGTTCATATAAAAACAACAACTTGTGCTTTCTATATGCTTGCTAGGGTTTCTCTAACAAAAATCGAACTCTATCTTGAGCCTATGAAGTCAGCATGTCGCAATTTTACATATGAGCAGCAGTATTACATATATAATCACGTTGGAAATGCCCCCCACACGTGTGTATAATGCATGTCATTGTAGACTATTCCATGAGATATGGTTCATGCCATCCAGACTGGCATGTGACAGATGTGCTTTTCAGTGTTGGTGGCAAACTTCTTCATTCCTGTCTTTACCTTACATTACCAAAATAAATCTAAAAGCAGAGTCAATATTGAATATTACATTCATCTAGTGGCCAGAAACATGACTCCAAGTCATTGCTAATGTTGCTCTGTCTGCTGGATGTTTTATAGGCAATTACTAATGTTCATCATAACAACTCTGATAAGACAGTATGTCATACATAAGTTATCAATATGAAATGGATGGCAGAGAACAGGATCTTATCTTATTTTGACCACAGTTGTCTATGATAAAGATAAAAATGTAATTTATCATGATTGTAGTTGTAAGCTGTAGGGGAACCTATGTAAGGATAAGGTGGAAAGAGAATTCAGAATTCTCGCAGTGATAGTTGGCCTACTAGCTTATTAAAGTGCAGCAACATGTCCTCATACCTAAAGACAAAATCGGTGGATTGTAAGTGACAAAATGACAGATATGACCATTGGAAAGTAGCTGCCAGTCCACCTGCTCTTGACGCTACCTCACCTGACTTTGTTTGCTCCCCTACATACCTAGCCTACTACTAGAGGTCGCTAACAATAAACGTAAATATGGGTCATAATCACAGAGCAATCGAGATATGTGCGCGCTTTTCTGGTGAGGACAGTCTGTATTAAATTTATGTACACATGTTAGGCTACATCACTTCCCAGAAAAACTGAATTAAGGGGAGATTTTTAATGTCTTGCTGGTTTAAAAAAATAGACAAAAAGTTGTTTCAGGCAGTCTCATTGAGAGATGGGACAGATCTTTTGAGGCGTTCTTTAGGGATAAATCTCACAGCTCTGTTTATAATTTGGACTAAAGATACCTGAAGTTTGTAATATTGCTAAAATAACTAACCTCTAACTCTATTCTATTTGAAAAGGCTTCCGTAATTGATTCTGCTGTGGGATGTGAGACCTCTTGCTGGCATCTTTTATGTGAAGAGATACATCACTGTAAGACTGTGTCTCAAGGGAATGTACCAACAAAAGGTAATGTGCTCTCAGTTATACAGCACATTAGCATGTGCATTCCTCCATCGAAACAGACACCAGTCTAACTTTATGTGATTGCATTTCATGTAAAAGTGTTGCCAAGCGTGAAAACACAAATGCAATTGGTGTCTTGGTGGTCTTTATTGTTAGAAAGGACAACAGCATGAAGCATTCACGCCACGCAACAGAGCTTTGATAGCTGCATCTCTTAAGTCTTTCCAGAGAGAAAAAGAAGAACAACGCTAAGTATTGAATTTTGCTGCAAGAGAGGTTTGGAGTTTCAGGGGAGAGTTATAAGAGCCCAGAGGACAGAAACTGGATGCAGATAAGGTATTTCCTGCGATTATGTAATGCTGATTACCTTGAGGCACTCTGAGTGGGCAGATACAAAATTCTATTTCCATATAAGAACAAACAAACAACAACCTTGCTGATGCACAGATGAAGGCTGTGTCACCACTGGAGTGCACAGACAATAGGGCAGAGAAATACTGATATAGATGGGCTTTTTCCAGTTTGAGTGTGTCAGTATAGATAATTATGCACAATATGTCTAATATAATGAAGGCCTTCTCCACAAACATAACCTTTCAGATTAATGAACACAGGAAAACATCTGCAGGGATTTCAAATTAACATTCCTGAATTCAGTTTACCTTTCATTAACAACAATAATCTCTGTTTAGCCTCGCAGCCCACACCTGCTCATTACCATGTCCGCCATTAACATCCATCACAGCCCAATATGTAGGCTACCTAACAAATGAAAGGATGTGTATTTCACACAGCCCACCTGAAATAATTTCAGCACTCCAGTTTAGGAACGATTTGTTCCTGTGCTGCAGTTCTCATTAACGGAGATCGTGAGGCAGGTGTGTGACTACTAATTTTAAGGTGGATGCTAAAGCTGATTTACCAAAGAGAAATATTGCTTCATTAAACCTACTTTGTTGAGATGGAGCAGACAGAATCATGCAAAATAACTGTTGTCAGCCTTCCCCCTCATGGTGACACTCCGGTATTACAATTTTAAAGCTGTGTCCAGCTTTCTCAAAGCATTTTTGGTTATATTTGTTCTCTTTACATCCAATCAATATATCAAATGCTCTGACCCAAAAATGAAAAGAATCCTGGGAGCGGCTTTGGAGGGAGGTCTGAAGGGACAGGGTGGGATTATTAGGTTGGACACTTTCAAAATCTAGTCATACTGGGTCCAAAATACATGGATATTTGGAATGTGTGGGAATGGGATCACTCTGAAAAATGTCAAGAGCTAGAAGGATGAAAGAAACATCGCACCATGACTGTTTAGTCTGCAGTACCATTTTATTCAGTGTTTCCTGTCTATGTAGCTGGAACAGTTTTTTTCAGATTGAAATACTTTCAACCACGAGAGAGGGGGGAAGAGGTCCAGTGTAGAGTGTTGTTAATGGTGTGTTGTCAATAAATCCCATGAAAAGACCAAAACCAAAAATGAATGGGTCCAACTACGTACTGCCTATAGATGTAAAGCCTGATATATCTTATTTTTCTGTGCCATTAAGTTCAATTGTTGTCCAACAACTGATGAAAACACATCACTGAGCCACACAGTTGCACTCGGTGACATGTCCCTTCATCACCATGGACACCGGCATTGTACACACACACTGTCCTGCTGCTGTAAATATTCACTAGCACTTGAAATATGTATTAATCCCCAGGTGAAAATATTCCCCAACAAATGCACTATTACCTCTTATTTTAGTAATGTTTGATAAAAACTACAGGGCCAAGCTGTTTTAGGGAATCATTTAGCCTCTTTGAATGTAAGTGTAACCTAACCAAATTATTATGATTTGCTTCTTCTTCAAACGGGCTTTTGTGTTGAGGGCCAAGGGCCGAGTAGGCGAGTCAAAGTATTGCAAGATGGAATAACAATAATAATAATACAACAACAATAATAATATTGTTGGTTTTGTTTTTTTTGATGTGATATGTTTAAATGGTTTGATGTGTTATTGTAGCATAAACTGTGACCAGTCTTTTTCTGATACTGTCAGACACTCACAGTGGGTAAGAATGCTGCCTTGGTTAAATGTAGTTAGGGTAAATAAAATTCTGCTCTTACATTCTGTGAATTATATGGGGAAAACTCTGGTGACATAATGGTCACCAGTAAATATGATGCAGATACATACACCTGAAGTAATTCAATTAAACCACCATTCCCTGCTCTCTAACATCTCTCAGTCTAACATAAATAATATACAGTAGGTATGCTCAGCATGCAGTTTCTAAAAACTAGTGTAATTCCTCACAGAGGGTTTAAGTCATTCAGTGTTCTCCAGTCTGATGAAGATTTGTTGAGAGTTCCCTCAAACTATTTTATACACCACATATGGAAGGGCAAATCTATTTATGACACAGCATTTCTGGAAATATGCTGTTCCCACTTTAATTTACATAACAGATGGTGTGCTTCGCTTTGAGTGTGTTTCATGCTAATGTGATGACTAATGTTTTCACGATGAGCCTCTAGAATTAGACGGTAAAATATTATTTAGAGTGACCCTTTTATGTCCCCACTCTCTTTCCTCAAATGTGATGGACTTTGGGGGCCACAGCTTGTGACGAATTGAACTGTTGAGAGATGACAGGCAGCTAAGTATGGCACGATTAGGTAAACACTAGTAATTCATTCTGTCAACTCCTCCTGACCTAAATGGGAATAAATAACTTGTCTGATGTGCGACTAGCTGAGATTTTGGTCCTAGTCTTCGCCTGGTGGCCAGATGGATATACTGCAGGCCGAGGTGAGCAAGAGCTCGGGTCTGTCCAAGAGACCTCAGAAGACCCCATCATAGCAGGACACACTGCAGCAGCTACCCGTCCAGGCTTGTGGACACTGAGCTGCTGGATCAGAGTCAAATGTCATCAACAATGCTATGTGCGTTTCGTTCTCATGTCCATGTAGAGGGGTTTCTAGAAAACAGTCACTTCATTGTAGATATGGGTCGCTGGCTCCTCAAACTGGATTACCCCAAGGGAAGAGGTGTTTTTTTCCTGAAATAGATCTGTTCAAATAAAATAAAGATGTGACTGTGGCTAAGCAAAACGTTATCAAATTTATTCATGACACAGCCTATAATATAATATCTTATTATTTTGAAATCGAGCCACAGAGAAACAGAGGTTCAGCTGGTGTGTGTGTGAAGAAAGTGAGAGCTACAGCAGATGAGAGCAGAAACACCTGAATACAAGAGAACAAATAATATAACATTCAGTCTCCAATATCAGATTAGTAATTGAAGGTTATACTTTTTCTTGCCTCTGTTCACATTCAAGTGGCTTTACTCACTAAAGATACTGTTGATGACAAGCACATCTGATCCGGATTCCGCTCAGATGCTGCATGTATAGTATATCATCCACTGCTTCATAAGGTTTGGGTTTAGGTTTCTAAAAATAAATGTGATTTTGTTTGTGTTTCTGCATGTGGCCAGCCTAGGGGAAGGAGGTAGAGACAGAGAAAGTGCTAGTCACGCTGTGCGAACAAGAAGAGAAGCTACAGAAAGCCCAGAAGGCGAGTGACCTTCATGCAGGGACATGTGGCACAGTAATTACACTGCAGCAATGAAGTTGAAAACTCTCATTGAACTAGAATATAAATTATCATGGATATTCCTATATTTGTGTCTAATCACCGCAATCAGTAGCTACTGATTAGCCCTGCTTGACACCAGAGAGATGTACAGTATATCTGCATATGACGAGGTGGATGAGGGGGAGGTGAAGAAAGAGATAATAGCACATGAGCACCGGCAACAAGGCTTTAATCAGTCAAAGTGCAGCACATCCATGTGTGCAGCATGCACAGGATGTGTGGTATTTGCGAAGAAATTCTTGACAACATAATTGCAGGCCAGAAACCTCACTGTGCATCAGGAAAATGCCACTTTCCTATTGGCCCCCATGAGAATATATGCCTCAAGGTCTGCTGCACTTAATCCTATCCGTGCACTTCCTTGTCTGATGTTGATGAGTGTTTTTCTGTCATACATGCTTTGCTAATAAAGTAAATGCCACATGCCATGATCATGGAAATAAATAAGCAATCATTTGGAATAGTCATAATACTTATTGTATAATAAGGCATACTTTATAAAACTAATGGCTTCTTTAAAGTTTGTCTAAACATTTATTCATGCTTAATAGGATCCATAATAAACCATAAATAAGCCAATGGACAGTTCAACCACTTGAAGCATCATCATTGACTAATATCTTTAAAGGAATTAGTTAGACATTTTTGGGAAATACTTATTTGCTGTCCTTCAGAGAGTTAGATGAGATGATCGATACCACTCTCATATCTGTCCATTCGATCTGAAGCTACAGCCAGGAGACAACACAAGCTAACCGTCTCCTGGCTGTAGCTTCAGACTGAGCAGACGGGTATCAGAGTGAGATCAATTTTCCTCTCTTACTCTCAGCAAACAAGTCACGGATTACTATGTAAGCTACCGGGTGTGCTGTCATAAATGAGAGTAAGTCACAAATGAAGGATGCTCGCACCACAGTCATTCAGCACACGATCGGTTATTATCTAATGTCTATGTGCAGCAGGGTACAGTTCACATATAGCATTCAGGTCTGAATAAGGAATGTGGATGAGGAGTACTGGTCTATTCAGTCTATTTACTTTAATATGCAAGTGATCATAAATGTTCTTTTGCTGACTGAATCATGCACTGTGTTTTTCTATGTGTCGCCTACTGTGTTGGGCAGAAAATATTGTTCCTTTAGAGGCTCAGAGTATCATGCTACTACTATGGTTTCGTCTTGTTCATATTGTGTTTTCAAGTTGTTTTATTTGTTTGGTATCCTCCAAAGGGAAAAGCTTGCCTACTTCTGCTCTCCCTTTGTGACCCGCTTTGTGAAGCCAGTCTTATGACTTGCCAATTGTAATGGTGTGCACTGAGAGTTGTCTGTTTTCAAATGACTTCCAGACATGTGCTGAGGTTACTGCCTATAAAAAGCCGTATACAACCAGTGGTACAGTTAGTTTGCAAGGAAACCAGCGTTTCCTGGGCTACAGCAGCAGAAAGAGAAGTCTATGCCTCAGAGTGGAATATTATTGGATGCTGAAATCAGGTTTAGAGGCATCACCCTTGTGTCTTATGCTCATTGAGGTTGTAGGCTGTTGTGTAGCAGGTCACTTGGTGTTGTGTCGCTAAGTTGCAGGTTGTGCTGTTTAGATTTTTAACACTCGACATGAGCAAGTGTCACAGTGAGCTGACTCCGAAGGAGCAGGGGCTACTGAAAATTCGCCGAGACAGCGACACTAAGGCTGCCGAACTTGTCAAGATGGAGAAGATGCTGCAGCAGACCAAGAACATGTTGGACAAGAAGACAGAGCCTGGCTCGGAGAGCATGGGCTACCAGGAGAACATGGGTCTGTGTCACAAAGAAAACATTCTTACTTCATATTTTAAGTATCATAAAATCTCTTGTTGTCCTGTTGCTGTGGTGTGAGTCTGTGTTTTCTGGTTGTTCGTCGCAGTGGAGGACCTGGAGGAAAAAGTGCGCTCCAGCAGACGGTACAGGAGGAACTCCCTCCATCACACGCAGATGCTGGAGAGCCAGATGAAAACAGTGAAAGGCGAGCTGGCGGGCACACTGGACCACCTTCAGGAGCTGAGGAACGTCTTGCGGCGTTCACAGCAGAAAGCAGAAGAGCGCAAAGCAGCGATGGAGAAGCTGGCAGCAGGGCTCAGGTGAACCATCTACTCTGCAGCTGCTTTTGATTTGCAACAAAGTTTTGACCCTTTCAAGCTCCAAAACATACCAACTGAATGTCTGACCTGACGTCCTGCGTCCTCCCAAACGAAGCTGTGCAGAGATGTAACAAGAATGCACCCAGACGCTGGTTAACTGGTAGAAGAAAGTGACTTGAGCTGCTGTGTTGGTCCTCTCTGCAGTGAGGCCATTGTTTTGCATCCAAAGTGTAAATTTAAAAGACTTTATCCAAGGTAGGGGAGAGTGGGGTATGTTGTCACACTTTTCACACCATCTAATATTTACTGAGCACCGTACATCACAATGGTACAAATGTCATACCAAATGAAAGAATGAAGTCTTGGGCAGAAGTTTTGTATTCATCACATCTTCATATCTTATCTCATTATGGAGTTGCAGACTGTTGAATAGAGAGTGTGGTAAGTTGTCACACTGCATTGGGTAAGTTGTCACACTGGATTATCAAACAGTTAGAACACTTTATTGTGAAAATTGATTTCAATTTCAAATTCAAAAATCAATCAAGCCTAGAGAATTTGGATAATAAATAATTTAATTCAAAACAAAAATGTTGGCAGAGCTCACATTAAGTGGCACAACCTCTTTCTTTGAACTTTAAAATCAAACGTTTTCTGGAGTGCAAATAGATCTATGGTAACTGAATGTAATGCTGCAGATAACTTGCTTAAATGTACAACTTCTTAACTAAACAGATGTGGTGTTTAAACACACTAATGCAACAATGTGCGTTTTTGTTCAACGTACATATGTATCTGACTAATCAGACATGTGTTTAGAGTCACAGTTCTGGCCTGAGGTGCAAGCATCGTAGGCCCATTTGTTGCATTTCATACACTTAAACCACGTCTTCTTTTTAATACTGTATGAAAATGGCTCCACATAGATGAGGCCAAAAGAGATGTCAGCGGCTTACGTCAAAATCCTTAGCTGTACTTCTGATTGATTTGTTCTTCAACTTCACCTGCCTGACTGCCTTTAACATTATGTCAGGTGGTGTGCTGCCATTCTCTGTCTTCTGTTGATAATTTCCTTCCTTCCTTCAAAATCACATTCCTCCTTGCAATTACAAATAAATTACAAGCGTATTTGTCTATTACCCTTGTTGCCTAACTAAATTAATAACTGGATCATGTAGTGTGTGTGTTTTTTGTATCTACTTACACACTACATGCCTACGGTATAAGACCGTATATACTCTGTCATGAATTCAGTCTTGTCATATGGCATATGGCTGCTGCCTAATTACAGTATCATTTAAGACTTGTGTCAGAGGTAATTACACAATTTCACATAGTTTTTTGGGCATGTTCCATGTGTTTATTTGTACTGGAGCAAGTAATCTAAGTAAGTAAAATAATGGGACAACTTGCCCCAAAGTCATTGAGACAACTTGCCCCAAACTGACATGTGTGCTAATGTTGGCTAAATCTCAAGGTTAGCTTAACATAGCACTTCAGCTGAAGTATTAAAAGACACGTTATTGTCTCCTCTACTTTGTGCAATGTTATCATTTTGAACATTCATACCTAAGAAGGGTGGATTATGTAAAATGTAAAGTGCAAATGTTTTACTTTACTTAAAAAAATTATAAAATTGTGCTCACCTCAGATTAGAGTGACCTTGACCACATGTGAACAGGAAGTTGAACATAGAAAAAGAAGTCACACAAAATGGCTATTTGATTTTTGACATAGAGGCTCTAGTGTTGGAGTTCTGAGCAGTGTGACAACTTACACATGAGACACCTTACCCCGCTCTCCCCTACTTCACAACCCACCTCTAACAAAGGATTTAAATAGCTTCTTCTTCCTTTTATGCCCCATTTTGTCCTGCTCTTATTAATCTCATATTTTGAAGGTTTAATGTAGACATCTTTCGAATTTGTCAGTTTTTTTGCCCAGTACGTGCTCCTCGATTGCGTCTGGAAACCGTCTGGAGATGATCATAAATCACTGCTGCTTTTACCACTGGGAAAGCCACAGAACAGTTTTGCAACTATATTAAATGATACATACAGTATTCCATATTTCGGTGATTTTATTTTAATTTGATCTTTTTTCACGTCTGAAATATGGAGATTGCACTCATGTGAGATGGCTCATCTCAGAGGCAGAATACCCTGAGCCGCCCTCATGAACGTTTTTCCTGGGTTGATCTCTGCTCATCCATTTATGAAAAGAAAATATCTCTATGATTGATGACATTCTCCATCTGCAGCCCCGGGGATCACCTCCACGTTATTGCTTTATGAACCCGGTGAATTCAGCCCTGCCAATAATAACATGTAAGTTGCCTTTTGTAATGTAAAGTTCATTAACTAATTAGTCATGTGTTATTAAATCTTACAAACTAATTACTCTCATGTTGTTTGAATTGTTTCTCAGACAATAATAGCTACATTTTTATGTACATCTATAATATATCAACAGGATACATGTGTGATAAACAAAATTTCTTTGTCAGACTATTGTATAGTAAAAACATGCAGCTGTACCGACTTGTCTTTTAAATGAACTGTTTGATCATTTATTGTCACATGCGCACAAATAAATCATTCTGAGATGGGAACATTAAATGGTGTGCTACCGACAGATCTGATCAGAGTTTTATGCAGAGAAAAATGCAGTTGCATGTCTTTTTTCAGAGTGTATTTTTCCCCAGATGACAGAAAAGTGTCTCAGAGTGTTTCGACGCCCTCTGGGATCAATAGCCTGTTGTCTGTTCCCTGCGGTGAGTCATGTGAAAGCTGTATTTGTGCCTTCCCTGTGGCTGAGATGTGATCGCACATAATTTAGCACAGCTTGTTTCACACAGTGTCACATGCTGTGAGGCTGTGGGGGGCGTTCAGTCGCTAACCCTGGCCTACTTATAGCTGTTATTATACCACCATTACTGGGTTGCGTTCTTGTGATGTACTTTTCCTAATTTTAATTTAAAACGTTGCTGGCCGAGTGCTTATCAAGTCCAAAACACGAGATAATGCTATTACTATAATGCTATAACTATTTATCTTTACTCACAGCGTGTTCCCAGTAGATTCATCAACATCCTCATTGTTTGTTTCATCTTTAAAAAAAAAATCTTTAGCTTTCCATCACACAGTGCAGAGATGGTTTTTGAAACAGATGTAGAGGATCTTAACAAATGAACCAGCAGGGGGCACTAGAGACTTCTCAGAGAGCCATCTGGAAAAGCAACAGCAGCATGTTCCTACACTCCTTCATAAGAATACATAATTGGCAACAATTTATTCCCAATTTATAAGCAGGTATGTATCATTTGGAACTGTTTAGGTAAGCATTTGTCCTAAAATATACATTTTTAACAATTATTTAATGGCTTTTGGAAGACAAGTTGAGTAGAAGGTGTTAAATTTATCACAAGGTTGGCAGTTCAATCCCTGCCTGCACCTGTTCACATATTAATGTGTCCTTGAGCAAGATACATATATATACATAGAGTACATGCACACATACAGACACAAACATTGTACAACTTTATAGGATATACATTATATGCCATCCTAAAAGATTCACCTTTTTATATTTTTAACAAGATGTGGGCATGTTTATCCTCTCAAGCAGTGGTTCCCAACCTTCTTTGCTTGTGTCCATCCATCATCAACCGCTTATCCTGCGTACGGCGGGGGGCTGGAGCCAATCCCAGCTGACATCGGGCGAAAGGCGTGGTACACCTTGGACAGGTCGCCAGTCCATCGCAGGGCCTCTTTGCTTGTGTGACATTTTAAATTGCATCGGTTTCCATTCACAACCTCACTCACAGGTTGTTCCAGCCCGTTCACCCCGTCAAACACCACACAGGGTACCCTTCAGAGTCTGGATGAGATGCCCTGGGCTTGTAATGTAACCCATTCGCGACAGGTGATGTAGTCAAAGCTGACTTATTTAAAGTTTTAAATTGCATAACGTTAGATGTGTGTTATGTCACATGATGCACTTATTTCAACCGAAAACATAAAAATAACCACCACAACCATGGTGATTTTCTAAATCTAACCATGTGTTGTTGCCTAAACCTAATCAAACTGTGACCATTTCACAATGTTAACCTCATCTTACAAAGGCGTTTCATATGGACGCTGAAGGATACCTTGTGAGTCAAATACCGATATGCCCTGGGATGAGAACGTGTTGGTTATGCATGTCCATGAGCCTTCTCGTCATATTGTTTAATTTGAATAGTTTTTAGCGGTGAGGTGAAACTTTCCTGCTTTTCACAAGAACATAAACGTTGGAGAAGATGTCCGAAAAATGAAACATAATTGGTGCAACATGTTTGTGCGATGTGTTTTACGTTCTTATTTTCATGTCATGTTAACCATCTCACAACCCCTTAGCTTTATCTTATAACCCTGTAGGGGGTCAGCACCTTCAGGTTGAGGACCACTGATTCACCGGAAGAGTATTTCAGAGTTTGGGGGCCCTGGCATCAAAAGCCTGATCCCCTCTGGTCCCAAAAAGAGACCTTGTAACAGCAACTGATTGAAAACCTACGACCATGATCAGGTTCACTGGTTGTTGAGAGATCTATTATTTATTCTGTGGATGCCACAAAGGCCTCTGATAGGACTTGAATCCATGTGACCACATAATATATGCACCTTTTAATACGAAGCTATCAGGACCAGAACAGCATACATCTCCAACATTTCTGACTAAGAATGGCTAAGGATACCATATTAGTGAGAATACTTGCAGAGGAAAATGTGATCCTGCATGGAGAAAAGTAATTTGTCTATTCCCTTTTTTACATAATCATTCCTTTCCAGTGTCAGTCTCATAGAGAATATGTCATGCAGTTCTGTACTGACACGTTTTTCTAATCAGAATTATGCAAGTTTATCAATGAAACACCACCAATCCAAAATGATCTAATCCAGACCAACGGTTGGATTTACTAGATGTATTGTGTATCACTGTTTCTAGTAGTTTGCTTCATAGCTTTGTGGAGGAGTCACACCCACTGATGAACAGCTTGCATTTGGCAAGCCATTGCAAACTGATGCTACATCCGTCAGATGATAACCAGCGTACAGACTGGAAACGAGGGGAAAATAAATAAAAGCTAGCATGGCTCTGTCTAAGCTAAGCTAAATACTTGCTTGACTATTTCTTGGCCTGGGGGCAGTGACTTCCTGGTGTCTTGTGGTCACAGGGAAGTTGCCAGGCATCCAGTGGAGACCACAGGGAGCAAGTAGTTCAGCACATAACTCCCTGTAAAACCATAAATTTGTAGTTTTTGTTGTTGTGAGAATTAAAGAAAAACAAGATACAGTATAACGTGTTGATTAGTGAACTTTAGAACTGCTGGTAGGTGGATTTTTTTTAAATCTTTGGACGGAGCCAAGCTAGCTGTGTCCACTTGTTTACAGTCTTTTGTGTTAAGCTAAGCTAACCAACTGCTCTCTGTCACCTCATATTTACACTACAGACATGAGTCAATCTTTTCATCTAGCAAGAAGATGAGTTTTTCCCAAAATGTAGAGCTATGTACAACTTCAGCTATGTGTAGCTGGTGTTTACGGGGTTAATATATTAATGCCTGTAAGTGCAGCTTACTTTGCAATGCATTTCCACTAAGAGCCACCCACTGTAAGATTGTGCAAGCACTGGTCAATAAATAGTGTGGAAGTGTTTGTGTGAGCTAGTGTTAAGTTTACTACATGTGCATGAAGATGAACATATTGTCTACCAGAGCTATGACAGATGTCTTTGTTATGACAGTTTTACAACATTCACTGAACCCAAAAAGCCCAGAAACAAGCATCATAATAAAAATGTGGTGATCACAGCCTTGTTATCACTAAATTTTTGAAATGCTTAAAGATCCTACAGTCTCATTGGTTAACGCCCTTTGTGTAACAAGATGGAAAGCAGTGTGAAAGTCGCCGTGGTGGTTGGGCGTGTAGCACATAGGATATTCATTCAGAAGACATGGAGTTTGCATCCAACCTGTTTGTTTTAACCGTAACCAATCTTTCCCTAACTTTATACAAGTGTTTCAGTTGCCTAAGCAGACCGTTATCATAAATAACTTCTAGTATAATCATGGTCGATCACATACCCTTTTCCAAGCCAGATGCCAACACAGATATCGTAGAAAGGCAGAAAACGTTGTCATTAGACATAATCCAGGGCTTGGCAGGATTTTCGAATACTGACATTCTTGTCTGGCATTCTTGTCATTGACCCGCAATGATGCGTGTCATTCACTACTGCTGTGTGTTGTCCTTTTGCTCGATGGGTCGTTCGCAAAAACCACTGTATCGTACTATGGACCCCATCCCCATAGTTTGTAATGCAGGCTTTCTGTTGAAACAAGATGACATGACTACGATAGCCTGAAAGGTAATTTTCTATTTTTACTATTAATGTACTGCATGTATGTAACTCAGTTTCCTTGTATGATGTTTGCTAAATGTCTTTGCCTTAGTCAAGAATAAGGGGAAACACAAATCCACTCAGGACCAGCAAGTCCATCCCACTTACACACAGGAGAGCCCCACTCCTGACCTGCAGTCCAGCTGCACTCTACAGGTGAATTCATATACTGAAACTCAAATACCTTTGCCTTTGCAGCATTAAACAGTATTCCTGTCAGGTTATTGCTCTGCTTCCTTGAAGCCTTGATAAATCCCATATACATTAAAAGTAAACCTTGTTAAATGAAGAGCACGGTGTTATAAGGGGCTTTATGAGAGACTGCAGATAATCCAGGAATATTGTTTAGCAATATTCACTGAAATGAATAAAAAGCAGACTTGTTGCCTTTATTGTTGCCTGTATCTTTTCTCTTTGAAATATGTCTGAACTTTGCAGCAGCAATGTGGCTCTGGTGTTTTTTCTCACCTACAAATGAATGCTTTTAAGCAATAGTTCAATATTTTGGGTAAAATCAAAATCTTATTTGCCTTGTTGCTGAGAGTTAGAGGAGATGATTGATACCACCTAACCCATGTTACAAATAAAGCTACAGCTAAGACATGGTTAGGTGAAAGGTAAAAAAATCAGCCTACCAGCACCTCTACATGTCACTTTATGGACATTGTTTAACTCAAACTCTCAAATTTGCCAAGCAAGCCAGGTTTGTTTCCCCCTACTGCCAGTCTTTATGCTAAGCTAACCACTGCTGGCTATAGCTACCATACATCAGTGGAATCAGTCTCCTGATCTAACTCTCGGCAGGAAAACAAATGAGTGTTTGCCAAAACGTCAAACTATTCCTTCAGGCATATTGAGAAGATTCAAACCTATCTACCTTTGGATTAAAGTGCAGCAGTAATTATGGCAGGTAGTGTCAAGCAAAATCCCTTCAAATACTACAAAAGATCTTCTTTGTGAGCTTTGGAACAAGTGCTGCTGCCGGACATTAAAACTCATGAGACGCATCTGCAGGTAATTTTGACTCAGTGCTTCATGCATGTATCCCTTGTTCAACCAGGAAGAAGCCCTGTCATCAGACTTGTGATTGTGCCATGCTTCACAGCAGTGTTTGCAGCTAGAATCCTGCTACATCCTGCATGTGTCTTCACAGGAAAATTTGCAGCCCTGTTGGTTATGGAAGCAGAAGACATAATCACAGTTATGCAATATAATGTACAGGAGTGTTTTAGTCCAACTCAAGTTAAAACAAGTAGCCTGTGCGTGTCTCTATGTGTGTGCACTTGCGAATGTGTTTTGTCTTGTGGAGGAACGGTGGTATGTTGTGAAAACACTACACAACCAGGCAGAATGTGCTGATGCAGCTCTCACAGTAGGAGTGATGGACCCAGCCCTAATCTGAGGCGACCACCGGAGCTCAGAGGAGAGATCTTTTGTGCCTTCCCTTTCTGTCAAGCTGCCACATGGGAGTCGGGCCAGTGCCAAACAATCACACTCTGGACTCACATGCTAAAACAACAACAATGTAATTTCTAAATCAACTATGCCCCCGGACAAGACGTACAATCTAATGACTTCCAAGAGATGGCCAGCTGTTCCTGCCATTACAGATCCACTGCAGGACATGGGAAAGAGATGACTCAGCAGAATAATAAATACAGTTAATAAGGTCCTTTGAATGCAGTCTTCACAATGTGTTTTATCTTTCTGCATTAGAGAAATTCTGTTGCCATATATATTTACCAGACAGACATGAGAGTGCTATTGTCACATGTCTCTGCAAGAAAGTGAATAAGTGTACTTCCCAAAATGTCCATCAATGCCTTTAGGGCTGACACATGACCATAAATAGCCCTGAAATCATACATACAAATAGATTTGCACAGTAGTCGGCAGAGTACTAAAAATCATTACTCAAGTAAAAGTAAAAATGATTATTTGTAACCTACTCAAGTAAAAGTATGAAATCAGAAAGGTCAATAAACTACTCAAGTTATCTTGTGTTTTAATATTTTTAGTGTGTGCAGGCCAGAGATCTTCACAGGTCATCATAGGCAAGTCCAAGTCAAGTCTCAAGTCCATTTTTGCAGTAAGTCCGCTGTGCATCATGTTTAGAGCCACAGTGCAGCTTGCTTTATTCACTTTGCTTGCTGACCTCAAATGTAGCTATTTCTGTTTAATACAATCATTTTACTTATATATTTTTTACATCTACATGAAGGTTTCGATAACATCACTTAAAAATATTGCTTGCTGCCTAGCCTACCATTGTTGCCTACATCTTGATAGTAACATGTTGCAAACCAAAACCACCTGCTTTGATATGAAAGGCGCTGCCTATGATTGGCCTTCTCCAGTAGCACAGGCACCCATTAGGCTACAGTATGATTATTCCTAAAGCATGAACATAATCTTTACAACGTAAAGAATTATTGTGGCATTAACACAGGAGAAATAGGGTGAGTCTACATGCAGAGGGAGAAATGTGCCTCGCGCATTTGGCTACAGCCCAGGAGGATTGTTTCATATCCATTTTTGATCTCTCCCTCCTCAAAATGTTCTGTTCCTGATTAAATAGCATCTGGTAGCCAAGATCACCGCAACGTTCAGGCATCGCCATTTACATTAGTGTTAATGGAAAGTGAAAGTATTTTTTTGCTGGTTTGTGAAAGGGCAACGCAAGCTGCAACACAGCCACCAGTGGCTATAGTGTGCAATTACATTAGTAGAACGACCAAACCTTAAATAAGAAACCAGGAATGTGCCCGATTTTCTACATGTTTACATCTGCCCAGCTTATTTGTATGGGGTTACAGCATCTCCTGCCTGAACACAGCTCGGATTGCCTTCAGTCATTTCGGTTAGTGTAGCAAAATGCACAGTAGCCTAGAAGGTATGATTGGTAACTGAAGCTAAGTTAAATGTAGATGCAATCCCCAAAAATACTCGAGTAACGAGTAAAATACAGTTTTAAACAGAATCATTTAGCCTGCAAGCCACCCCTCATCTGCATAAATGTGTCTGCTTATTTCCACCTACAGTACCACGAGTCACACGATGAAAAAGAGAACTTTGATGAAAAGCCATAGATTTACTATCAGTATATTAATATTATTTAAATATATAATATAATAATAATATATATAGATATACCCACTGCATTAATGATGGCTGTGTTAATGGATGAACCATGAAGGTTTATGTTGTGAATATTAAAGGGAAGGTTTAGTTTGTCGTGTTGTTTCACTGCCACCAGTCTGATCCAAATAAGAGTTTTTTCCCCCCGTGATTTTGAGGTTTTTAACCTGGGTTTTCTTTTGCAAGGAAGGGGCATATCAATTTTGAGATTTTAATTTGAACCCAGCATACTTAGACTACATGAAGTTCCAAGTTATTTCGCCCTGAATTCGTTGCTGCGTGAAGGAAGTGAGTAATGCAGCCCTTTCGCAGACTGGGTTGGGTCGAGATGCTGCTTGACACGCCTCTTGGTCAGAACGCGGATGTCTGTCCAGGCTATATAGGAGACGTGATCGCAGACTGCCTGGGCGGAAACCTGGAAGAGCAGCTTCTTCAGTCCCAGCATCTGTCTTCTGTCCTCAACAGGTAATTGTACATTATTAATGATCTCCATGCTGAATGTTTTCCAAAATGCTGAAGAATCTGTAGCTATTCAGATAGCATTTTTTAAATTATAGACCAACTGCTGGTCTGACCTTTTAGCTTTAGTTAAGTTATTTGTGTTAAATATTATATATATTATATATTATATAGTCCCTGCAAGTCACCCTCACAGTGTCATGAACTCTTTTCTGATTCTGCATCAAAGGAAGCAAAATAGTCAGTGCTTTCACGGGTACATTTCAACAATACATGTAAAATATTTGTTGAATGTATATTTTAAGTTATATAATATTTTTCTGTGGTGCATGATATACATAATATACTCAATGTCTGTCAATATCAGTTTTATTTTCACAATGTTCCAACCAACAATGTGTAGAGAAGGGCATTTACTGTACAGTATAAGATACAAGGTTTTTGTCTTTGGAAATGGGGAGTGGCACCCTTCTGTTAATCACATGGTACCTGCATTACAGCAACAAATAACAAATGAGCAAATACAGGTTTGTGCTCAGGGAAAAAGGGAATGGAAATGGAATAAAGCAACATAATGCACTACTGATGAAACTGTATAATCACTTTAGTGAACTTTTGAATGCTTTGTGATGTGCGCCATTCAATTTCCTGAGATTCTCAACATCCAGGCTTATCTGATGAAGAAAACTTACCATGTTTGTATAACTGTGAAAAGGTTTTTTCTCTCAGTTATCAAAGTCAGTCTCAGTTCATAATCGTTTAGTCTATAAAAGATCGGTAAATGTTGCAGTTTACATAAAGCATAATAGTAAAGGTAATGTCGTCAAATTTCTTGTTTTGTCCAATCAATTGTCCAAAACCCGAAGATAATTAGTTCATATGAAAAAGAAACTGGAACTGGAGAATATTTGGAATTTATGCTTAAAAACAGATTTAAGTTTCCAGTCAATTTGTGCCTATTGAGAAATTGATTATTTAGCTAAGACTTTTCAACCCTGTATGAAGCCTTTGCAATTCATGACCTTGTGTTTTAAGGTTACTTATTGTCCTTTCTGGGGGTTACTTATTGTCTCTTCTCAGGCCCTAAGCACTATGGCGTACCACAAAGAGTTTGAGACTGCAGGGAAGAAGCCTGGCCTGCAGGTGTGGCGGGTTGAGAAAATGGATTTGAAACCTGTTCCTACAGAACTGCATGGAAACTTCTACACCGGAGATGCTTACATACTGCTCTACACCACCTCTGCCCCCTCTTACAACATTCACTCGTGGATTGGTATTGGTTTATCATATAATGAAATTCCTCTTATTTGTTTGTCTATGCTTTCTCTCATTCAATTTTTCATTGTGTTCTTCTTTTACCACTTTCTGTTTTGCCACAGGGGAAGCGGCTTCCACCGACGAGAGAGGGGCAGCTGCCATCTTAATGATGCAGCTGGATGACTTCCTGGGTGGAGCTCCAAGACAATACACTGAGTTTCAAAGCCAAGAGTCAGTAACCTTTCTGGGGTATTTCAAGTCTGGAATCAAATACAAGGTGAAACATGATATTTGCACGTTGTTTTCATGGTAAATCATTTCAAATATCTTTTCACAGAAAAGGTGTGACCTCTGCCTTTAGGAACAAGAGAGATTAATTAATTTCTTTGAGACGACAAAAGCAAGTCTTGAGCTACCAAGTGAAACTAATGTGGTGACCTAAGCTAAAGGGGTTGTTTGTATTGCATAGGAAGTAGAACTCGTCACAGTGCTATTTTGGTAACTGTTTGTAGTAGTGGTTGGTTGCTCCCTTAGGTTTCCATGGAGAGTTTGAACTGGCAAACACGGCAAGCAGAAACATGCTCTAATGCCAAAACACCAAAGAGCTGCAGATGTCATAAGATGAAGTAGGCCACTGGAAAACAGACCATAATACTGAACTTTTAGTATCATAGACGTGGCAAATTTGGAGCTGAAATACTAATCTTAGTCAGAGTTAAAACATCTTTAAAGGAAAAGTTCAACATTTTGGGAAATATGCTTGTTCATTTTCTTGTCAAGAGTTAGATGAGAAGATTGATACCACTCTCATTACTGTACGCAAAATATGAAGGTACTGCCAACAGCCAGTTAGCTTAGCTTAGCATTACCTGGCTCTGTCTAAAACAGCTAATTGTCTCCTTTACACTTTGGTTGTTTTACATAGTAAACAAACAAGATATGATATGTTAATTTGTGAGCTTCAGCTACAGGTGGATTTAGTTCACTTTAGACAGAGCCAGGCTAGCGGCGTCCTCCTGTTTCCAGTCTAAGATGAGTCAACCATCTCCTGTCTGTATTCATATTTAGCATGCAAACCTCAGAGTGGTATCAATCTTCTCACCTAACTTTGCAACAAAAAAAATAAACATAATTTCCAAAATGTCAAGCTATTCATTGAAAGAGGTCATATTATGCTTTTTGGCTTTTCCTTTTATTAAGTTAGGCCTGTATACCTTTTTTGGTCATGTAATAGGTTTGCAAAGTTCCCATCTCCCACAGAAAACTCTGCTCTGAACTTCCTGTAAACAGCTTGTTTGTAGTCCAGCCTTTTCTTCCGCTTTGCTGTGACGTCACAGTGAAATGAGTGTCATAATGTTCGCCTAGCGGCTAGTCAAGACACGCCCTCAAAAACACCAGTGGAAAAACACTCTGAGCTGCAGCACACAATGAGAAGACGTCTGCCTGCTGCCTCTCCTCTCCCTTCCAAACACTAGCTACCCTCCAGGCAGTTAATGGACATAAACTTTTTACTGTGATTTAGAGACAGAGCTCAGTTAAAAATTTATGGATGAAAGATACTTTTGTTATAAATTAATTCACCACTCTGAAACTTGCTCCAATCTATGTTGCTAAGCTGGTAAGGGGAACATATACAGCTGAACCAAAACCGAAGGCTTCTCACTGACCCGCCCTACTCTGCTTCTGATTGGGTTGTAAGATTTTGAACGTGAAAATGAGCACAATATGACCTCTTTAATATTCACCTTTACATATATGATTAGTAGGGTTTCCTTTGGATGTAGATATCCAATGCAGTTGAGGTTTGTGTAGTGTAAGAGTTCTAATGCTTTATTCTTCTTGGCTTTACTCCTGTCAAAGAAAGGTGGAGTAGCATCCGGCTTCCACCATGTGGTGACCAACGACACAAATGTCCAACGCTTGCTGCACGTTAAAGGTCGTCATAACATCAGAGCCATGGAGGTGGACATGACCTGGGCTAGCTTCAACAAAGGAGACTGCTTCATCATTGACTTGGGAAAGGTGATCTAGAATAGGGACTAGATGTCCTAAATATGACTGTAGTAGTACAAGCCTCATCCGTTGCAGTGTTTCATTATAACTTTATTTTCATCTTCTTTTCCTCTGCTCCTCTCTTTGAAATGCTAGAACATCTACCACTGGTCAGGCAGTGAAAGCAATAAGTTTGAGCGACTGAAAACCACTGAGCTGGCCATCGACATCCGCAACAATGAGCGAAAGGGCCGTGCTGAAATAGAAATGATTGAAGAAGGCTCTGAGCCAGAAGCCGTCATTAAAGTGAGCTTTTACTTTTAAATGTGAGACCGTTTTATTCAGGAAAAATCTGGGAATATTGGTGACTGTAGCAAAAAAATGATCAGGCTCATTTGGCTGCCAGGAAGGACGTTGCAATCTGTGTGCCTGTGTTTATTTATAGGTGCTTGGACCCCTGCCCAACCTCCCATCAGGAAGCAGCGATGATGTTTCTGCTGATAAGAAGAACAAGAACCAGGCATCTCTCTATTTGGTAAACATGCACAAATGTTTAACTTTCAAATACATGCTCAAGTTTCTAAAAAATTCAGATGATAAATGGAGAGGGTTTGATCATCTCTCTACTTTCTAGATTTCTGACGCTACTGGCTCCATGACGACAACTATGGTGGCTGATAAAAACCCATTCAAACAAGACATGCTCTCCCAAAGTGAATGCTACATCTTGGACAATGGTGGAGACAATAAAATATTTATCTGGAAAGGTATTAAATCATATATTACATATTTATCAAAGCTCAGTTATAGCAGCAAGTTGTTAGCCTGCATTCTGTGGTTTCTCTCAAACTGCGAAAATATTTTAATTTGAAGTCCCTAACCACTGTACCACACCCCAAACTGCAGGAAGGAATGCAAATGCAGAGGAGCGCAAAGCAGCATTTACTGTTGCAAACAAGTTCATCAAAGACAAGAATTATCCCCAGAATACTCAGGTAATGTGGCCATGTAGTGAAAGTTTGTTACCAGAACTTTATTCTTCCATCTTATCTTCCTATTTTAGAATAAGCTTACTTTATTGTCCATTCCTGACATGGACAGGTCCAGGTAATGCCGGCCGGGGGTGAGACCACCCTGTTTAAGCAGTTCTTCTTCAACTGGTTGGACAAGGATGAGACCACAGGCCCAAGTAAGGCTTACACCATTGGTCGCATCGCTCAGGTGGAGCAGATTCCCTTCGACTCCTCCAAACTCCACAGCAACAATATCATGGCTGCCCAGCATGGCATGGTGGATGATGGCTCCGGGAAAGTAAAGGTATGGCTCACTAGCCTGACTACGCTCATGCTGTATATTCATTTCTTTAAATATCAACGTGTAGATGTAACAGTGGTGGGTGCTTGTAGATTTGGCGTGTGGAAGGAGGTGATAAGGTTCCTGTAAAGCCATCCACCTATGGACAGTTCTTTGGAGGCGACTGTTACCTGGTGCTGTACTCCTACAGCGTGGGAGGCAGAGAGAAGCATATCATCTACACCTGGTGAGTGTAACCTTTTTCAGCATGGACAGATTTACCTGTTGGAAGTTGTTGTTGGGCCTGCACCTGCCCCCCCTATATTTAGGAATATACAAAATTTAAACAAAAATAAGATTATGACACAGGGCCCCTACACAAGCTACAAGATTAAGTAATTCAATTTTTGTGACCAATTTTTTTGGGTGGGATACAAGAGTCACAATCATTGCAAAAAAGAGGAAAGGATAACAGAGTACAAAGAAAAAATAAACACAAAGAGATCAAAAGAAAACAAACATGCAATTCATACACCCACATGGTAACTTGACAGTTAAAAACAACATGTCATGTCATTATATTACATTTATAAAGGATTTAACTATCAATTTGCACTGTAGAAGCCATTGGCGCATCATTAAGACCATTTATAAATAAAATCAACACTTCTAAAATCAAAGGATTGTGAGAAGAGGAGACACACTTTATAGAATTGATAAGGGTTTCTATTTTACAATAAGAATTTTATTTTGGTGTAGTCAAGCACAAATAACAAACACAAATAAATAACACAAATAACATTTTGATATATATTTGATATATATTTGTTGACACCAACAAGACCAGTCAACAGCCAGTGTTACAAAATGGCTGTACTTAGGCAGTGAACCTGGGGCTTTGTGGGCCCCTGTGGGTCTGGGGCTCTGGGGCAGTTGACCACGTAACCTGGTTGGTGAACCAGCATTGCTTTTCAGACTTAATAGTGAATATCACCTTTGATTTTGTTTGTAGCTTGAATGTGTTATGAATACATTACAAATTTGCTGTCATTAGGCAAGGTCAGAAGTGCACAAAGGATGAACTAGCTGCTTCGGCCTTTCTGACCGTCAACCTGGATGATTCCATGGGCGGAGTAGCTACCCAGGTAACATACTTTATTTACTATGAAAACAATCTATGCTGTCTTTCTTTAGAGAAATAGTTTTGGACAAATACGTTCCCTTAGCCAGAGTTGATCAGAGGATCGATGCCACTCTCATCTGTGTGTTAAATATGAAGCTACTGTACATTCAGAAGCCAGTTAGCTTAGCATAAAGACCAGAAACAGAGTTAGACAACTAACCTGGTGTTAATTATTGAGCTTTAGAGTGGCTGGTAGATGGATTTGGTCAACAAGTCTTCCAATTGAAACGTCAGCACAGGTCGTGTTAACCAACCGCAAAAAATTACTCATATGAGCTTATGCTACATTAGCGGCAGACCTGCGTTTTGGAAATCACATGACATAAACACGTGGAGACCGCAGCAACACAAAGGATGCCGATCTGCACAGCTGTTGGGTTCACCGTTCAACATGCATAAAACACTGACTTAGGTTTAGGCACACTCCCCTGTGACGGTTAGCTATGTTTTTCCGTGGAGGACAGGCTCATTTTGTTACATTCGGATAAAGCTATGTTAGCCATTTCTCCCGTTTCCAGTCTTTACAGCAAAGCTAACTGGCTGTTGGCGGTAGCTTCATATTGAACAGACAACATTAGCGTTGTACCAGTCTACTCTTCTAAATCTCAGCTTATTCAGCATGTTTCCCAAAATGTCAAACTATCCCTTTATTGACTTAATCCTGCCATTCAAGCATCGGGTGACCTACTCCTATCACCCCTATTTTCATCATACTTGTAGTTTTAGCTACTGCTGTGTCTCTGCAGGTTCGCGTCACTCAGGGCCAAGAACCCCCTCATCTTGTGAGTGTGTTTAAGGACAAGCCTTTGGTGATCTACCTGGGTGGGACATCCCGCGAGTCTGGTGAGAGCAAGCCTGGCAGCACACGGCTCTTCCATATCCGCCAGAGCTCCAACAAAGCCATCCGAGCTGTTGAGGTCAGCCTCATTTACTACATTGAATGTGCATAGACTGATGCTTTAATGACCGTTTCACAAAATTCTCCCCCTCTCTTTGTGTCTGTGACCCAGGTGGAGCCCACTGCCTCTTCTCTGAACACAAATGATGTGTTTGTGCTGAAGTCACCTGAGTCCCTGTTCCTGTGGAAGGGAAAGGGAGCAACTCCGGAGGAGATGGCTGCAGCTGAGTATGTTGCTGGCCTGCTTGGAGGAACTGGCACTGTGGTGGAGGAGGCCAAAGAGCCAGGTGAGTGTTGATAAAAAGAGCTTTGATCTCTGCAGAGTAAAAGATTTCCTGTGGAAAACTGTGGTATTCTATTCTTTGTCGCCAGCTGGTTTCTGGCAGTTGCTGGGTGGGAAGAAGGACTACCAGACCTCCAAAACCCTGCAGAGGATGGTGAGGCCTCCACGACTGTTTAGCTGTTCAAACAAGACTGGCAGGCTGACAGTAAGTGTTTAAGTTTTTTGTCTATTTTCATTCATTAAGAGGGCGTAGTTATTTTGGTACATACAATAATCAGAATCAGATACATAATATATGTGTCTTTTACCTAATTATTTTACTTTTTAATATAGCTGCTTTGTAAACGTGTACTGCCCAATATTTAGGCGGAGGAGGTGCCCGGTGAGTTCACACAGATGGATCTGGCAACCGATGATGTCATGATTCTGGACACCTGGGATCAGGTGTGCCACCTTCACTTTTAATTAAACGATTCAGTCTCGGTTCCTATAGGTCTCATTTTTATTGCTGCCTTGTCCCTAAATCCCCTTGGTCATTTCTCCCACCAGATCTTTGTTTGGGTCGGAAAGGATGCCAATGAGGTGGAGAAAACTGGATCAGTCAAGATTGGTAAGACAAACAGAGCTATATCTACATTTTGTCGTTATAATTGTATATACTTTGAATTTCTGTTCTCATGCATGTCTGTTCTTCCATTTTCTTCCCTGTTAAAGGGGTTTTATTTGGGGAGTACGGAATATTGGGCTGTATAAATAAAACTGACTTTACTTTGTTCACAAATGTATCGTTGTTTTCCTGTCAGCCCAAGACTATGTGAATTCGGACCCCTCTGGTCGTTTCGGGATCCCCATCAGCACCATTAAGCAGGGGGAGGAGCCACTCTCCTTCACCGGCTGGTTCCATGCCTGGGACCCCAAGATGTGGAACAAAGATCTTATGCAGTGGATGCAAACCCGTATCAAAAAGCATTAGTAGAAAAACTAAAAGCAGTAGAAAACACCTGCAAAGATCCATTACTTATCACATATTGTTAGACTTCAAAGAGTAATCAAACTGTCTGATATTGTGAGCTTGGAATTTTAAAGGCGTGTGTGGGTGGAGAGAAGCTGGTTTTCATTCTTTCTTATGCATTAAAATAATAAGCTAGCAAGTGTTGACAATCCAGTGAAACTTCATGATGCACTATTTCTACCAAGTTCAGTGTGGCCTTGAGGACAATTTTTAAATGAACTATGTCACAGATGAGATGGCATTTTAAACGTCACAATTTGTTTTCTGTTTGCAACAAAAAAGAATGTATATTATTTTTACCTATAGTTTCCCTTTTTACAGCTTAGTTTGCAAAGACGCATTTAGATTGGGAAATTCAACATTTTAATAAAAACGGCCTTCTTTGAAAACCATCTTTTCTGAATGCATTTCTTTATTCAAACAAAAACATGTTTTTTTTCTGCCAAGTCTTGAACCATATTTTTCACATTTCGTGATTCACCGCAACAACGGACTTGCTATCAATATCCTAAATACTCACTAGGCATCAGCACCATGTGTGGACCGTGCTTGATGGTAATCTTCTGCTCATGTGCACAAGGCTTCTGCTGAGTTGCAGACCTGTGGATTAAGGAGTTGGCTTTAAAAGGGCCTCCGCGTAGCCTGTTCCCTCCCCTTTATTGTTCTCCTTCATTCTCTGCTGCTGGAGCTGCAAGACAAACACTAACCAGACACAATGAACCAGAAGGTGGTACTCATCACAGGCTGCTCTTCTGGGATTGGCCTCGCCTTGGCTGCCCGCATCGCAAAAGATGAGAAGAAAAGGTTCATGGGTAAATTTGCTGCATTTTAGAAAGCTTTGTCTACATTTCCATAACCTCACTGTTTTCATTGGAACTACTTTCTATGGAAGAAATAGTCCCAATTTCTGCAGATTATCCTGAACAACTGCGACACAGTATCTGGACTCAAGTTTGAGTTCAGCAGCTGTCATTTATAAATGCTTTCATCATCATTTCATCATAAGCAAAATTCTATTACACCAGTTGTATTGGTGTGGCCGCAGACTTTTAGAGACTAAATCTAAGACAATAAAATCAAACTATCTACAATGCCAAATACCACTACAGGCATGGTAGAAAATATGTTAACATGTGAATAGGTGCATGGCTCTTTATGAATTTCAAATGTTCAAATTTAGAGAAGGTGTCTGAAGTCTCTGTAGACTTAAATTTTACCGGCACCTCTGCATCCAAGTAGTAAACAAAATCACCGCTTTAAATTCATTTTGTTTGTTGTAGTCTATGCCACCATGAGAAACCTAAGTAAGGGTGAGGCGCTGGTGGAGGCAGCAGGTCGGACTCTGGGCAGGACTTTGGAGATCAAACAGTTGGACGTATGTGACGAGGACTCCATTAAAGCCTGTGTGGACAGCCTGCCCGAGCGCAGGGTGGACATTCTCAGTAAGCCCGTACCATTTTGTTCAGTGCATTCAGAAAAAAATTTCTGCAAATTCCTCTGCAGCTATTCATGAGTGTTGGTTCTGCTACTACACATACTTTTCCAATACATAACAATTGTACTGCACATGCCTTAATTAAGTTTGTTGCCATGCTTTAATTCTCACAGTAAGTAATGCAGGGCTGGGTCTGATTGGACCTATTGAGTGTCAGTCAATCGATGAGATGAGGACTGTCATGGACACCAACTTCTTTGGGTTTGTGCGGTTGCTGAAAGAAATCCTACCTGCCATGAAGAGGAGGAAAAAAGGCCATATTGTGGTCATTAGCAGCGTCATGGGCATTCAGGGTGAGCACAGTTACATCTGTTCATCATGAGATTATTTGTTTATGGTGACCGTCTTAACAGGGCCTCACTGTGTTTTTCAGGAATTTTATTCAATGACGTCTATGCAGCATCCAAGTTTGCAGTGGAAGGCTTTTGTGAAAGCTTAGCAATACAAGCCATGAGGTTTAATCTCAAGTAAGATACAGATTCATTTATGCCTGGCTCCTGTACATTTTGGTCCTTTCATTTTGTACTAGTTTCTCAGTGAGATTCAAATTCGGCTCACAATGCTGGAATTAGTAAGGGAAACAACATTCCCCCTCAGAGCTAACATGAAAATGCCTGCAAACCAGCACTTGTCAATGTCTACAACATCTGCACACTCATATTGCACAAACAGACCCACCATTGTCTTACCATTGAGAGGAAAGTTGTTAGGGTAACAACAACCACAGCATACTCTGGCCTGGGGCAAGTCTTAACACAACATCGTTCAGTCAAGTATTAAACCAAGTATTGAAGGGAATAGCTCTGTAGGGTTGTTTCAAATAGCAGCAGAGGAGCAGAGGCACGCACTTGATTCCATCTCAGTAAAATATAAGCAACATTAGCTCTGTAGCACTCATTTATTTTTTACTTAGCTCTTCAGTTTCCTATTTGGAGGGATTTGATTATGTTTGTTTCTGTTCTTCTCTTCTCAGTATCAGCCTGATAGAACCAGGTCCAGTGATAACAGAGTTTGAGCGTAAGGTCTATGATGAGGGCTTAAAGACTGATCTCAGCAAAGCTGACAAGGTGACTGCTGACATGTTCTCAAACATCTACTTGAAGAACTACAAACAAATCTTTGAAACCCTCGGGCAGACTGCTGAGGATATAGCAGAGGTATACTATTGTTGTCCGCAAACATTCATCACATCATGATGTGTTGCTTTCTCATAAAACACTGCAACGGAGACACACGATTGTACCTGTTGTTTATGTTTGTTTGTTTTTTCATCCTAGCATACTTTCAAGGTCATCACCATGGACGATCCCCCTTTCCGTCATCAGACAAACACGGTTTACACCCCTGTGACCACACTGAAATATGCAGACCCCAACGGTGACCTCCCAATTGACACATTCTACAAAGTGGTATTTGAACACGACAAGGTCTTCAGCGCCAGTCTAAACTTCCTCAAACTTCTGCGCTGGAGAAGTCGAAAGAGCTTTACCTTGGAAAAGGACAAGAGCAACTAATAAAATCCATATCTCATCATCATCGTCATTATTATTATTAGCCTAATGTTTATTTTAATCCATGTACAGGCTTCCTGTGATTTTTGTTTATTTTATAACAATTTTAATTTTATCTGTAAGACATCTATGTGAAACAACAATTGTTGTGAACAAATAAAATTATGAAAGCCATGAATAATTACAATCTCATTTTACATGTGTCTGTGAGCTCCTGCTGCAGATTTTAAACCACCCATTAAACCGACTACCACAACTCTCTTAACTTGTTAAGCCCCCCAAGCCCTACATTACACAATATGTAAGTAGTAAGCTAAACTGTGAAGGGCAGCGACAAGGTCATCGAGGCATCAGATGAAGCATTCAGGTAGTTCAGATAGTTATAGATACCTTATTGAGGGGCCATGTGTATTTTTAAGACATTCTTTTAAGCAAACATTAAAGATACCGATACCTTGTGAACCACTTGTGTTAGTGATATGTTGTGCTTGGGATACTGGATTATGTCAGGCTTTTTACACATGCCCTAATCTGGGATTCAGCTGTTTGCTCTGACCTCAAAATATCTTGTTTAGTTAAGATGTAGGCAGAGAACACAAGAGAATAGAAATCTTTAATTCTGTAAGTGAACGGTTGATGGTGGTAAACAATGGTTGAGAGACTTACGACCAGAAGAATTATTCATCATGAAACTGTGGAGGAAAAGTATATGAGATAATACAACATCAAAGAAAAAGGGAAAATCAAACAAAAAGGGTTACTTTAAAGACTGCATTTCAGAGTCATTAAGTTTAAGAAATCCAGTGAAGTTGGTGAGAGTCTGTGTTTTCACACATAGAATTTCCCATGTAAGATCAATAAGTTTTCAATATCTTTGAAATCATTTATCATGTTCGAAATATGCAATGAACTTTAAACTGTCGATTTTAACATTATTTTTAGTTTCACCCGTAATATAGTCTTAACGAGTTCAAAAATTAAGTGAATGTACACAGTGGAAAACTATATGCTGTAATGATTCTGGTTCATCATTGCAAAAAACAGATTTGTTTTCAATATCTAAAAATTTGGAGTAATGTAAATTTGTTGGCTATATATTCTATAAAATTTTAATGTGCACTTCTTTAATCTTATTGTTGATAGAAAATTTGTATGTGTCACACTCTGCATTTCTGTCTCTGTTTTCCCCCACACTCGCTCTCTCTCTCCCTGCCTGTGCCTCATTAGCCTCATGTCTTTCACCTGTGTTGCTCCCGCCCTGCTCGTTAGTCCCTGTGTGTGTGTGTGTGTATATATACCTGGTGTTTCTGTCTTGTCTTTGTCGGGTCATTGTATGTTGTCACCCGAGTGAGGCTGACGATACAAAACACACGGCTGTGTGTTTTGTATCGTCAGCCTCACTCGTCTTCTCTCCCTGTTTCCCTGCCGTTATTGGATTTTGTATTTTGTATTTCTGTTGGACAGCCTTGTTTTTGGACTCAGTCTATCAAGCCATTCTGTTTGTAAGTGTGCTCGCTTTTTGTTATATTAAAACCACTGAACCATACCTGCTCCGCTCTGTGTCCTGCGTTTGGGTCCTCCAACCTGCTCCACACCACCGATCGTGACAGTATGGGAGGAACCATGCCTTCCTCCAATTGACACCTGAGAGAATGTTGTCCCAAATGAATTTAGCTTTAGGAGTAATTTTCCTTCTTTTACAGAGTGTATTACATATGTGCTTATTGTTGCATTTAGCATTCATACTATCAATACCATTTATCATCAAAGGGGGTTTTAACCTCAGTGCTTGCTCATATTGAAGATGACATTTCATTAAATGTGATAGACCATTGGGAATAGCTTTCATTGCAAGATTAAATTCTGTTTGTTATAAAGACCTGACATAAAGGAATCTTTCATAACTAAACAATACACCATTTACATCAAAGAGATCACTCACATAAATAATGCCTTTATCAACCAATGTGGCTTAAAGATCGATTTTTTTCCCCCAACAGTGATATCTCCATTATTCCATATGACAGATTTGTGTGGGGAAAGGTTACATGTGTAACATAATTTTCAGGCAAGAAGGAACTGTTGGTAAAATTTGGATAATTTGACAGGCAATTTGGTAATATTAAAATTAGAAGTGAGTAGAAACTAATGCCCCCCTAGTTTTTTAAAGATCGAATTTGGGGTTTTAAGACATTCGTTAATCCATTTCACTTTAAATGTATGAAGTTTAATAATTCAAAACCACCTTACCTTCTGGACTGAGATAGTATGTCTTTTTTCAGGTGATGGTGTCTGCTTTTCCAAACAGAATTAGTAAGAAAGTTATTGATTTCCCTGGAAGTTGAGTCTTGGACAAACATCGAAAAAGAGACACCTCTTGCTGACACTGTATCGGCTCTTCGTTTGACGTTGCATCCAGACAAATTTAATCTAATGTTGCACATAATATTATCGTAAATGAACTGCTGGTAGCTGTACAATTGGTTTAGTTCATTTGAACTTCCTCAAACTTCTGCACTGGAGAAGTCGAAAGAGCTTTACCTTGGAAAAGCACAAGAGCAACTAGTAGAGTCCATGTCTCATCATCATCATCATCAATATTATTATTAGAGCCTACTATTTATGGGGAGATCCATTCATCCATGTACAGGCTTCCTGTGATTTATTTTATTACAATTTTAATTTTATCTGTAAGACATCTATGTGAAACAACAATTGTTGTGAACAAATAAAATTATGAAAGCCATGAATAATTACAATCTCATTTTACATGTGTCTGTGAGCTCCTGCTGCAGATTTTAAACCACCCATTAAACCGACTACCACAACTCTCTTAACTTGTTAAGCCCCCCAAGCCCTACATTACACAATATGTAAGTAGTAAGCTAAACCGTGAAGGGCAGCGACAAGGTCATCGAGGCATCAGATGAAGCATTCAGGTAGTTCAGATAGTTATAGATACCTTATTGAGGGGCCATGTGTATTTTTAAGACATTCTTTTAAGCAAACATTAAAGATACCGATACCTTGTGAACCACTTGTGTTAGTGATTTATGTTGTGCTTGGGATACTGGATTATGTCAGGCTTTTTACACATGCCCTAATCTGGGATTCAGCTGTTTGCTCTGACCTCAAAATATCTTGTTTAGTTAGGATGTAGGCAGAGAACACAAGAGAATAGAAATCTTTAATTCTGTAAGTGAACAGTAGATGGCGGTAAGCAGCGGCTGAGAGACTGCCGACACCGTATCCGGCTCTTTGTTTGACGTTGTATCCGGAGAAATTAAAGCTAATGTTGCACATAATATAATTGTAAATGAACTGCTGGTAGCTTTACGAATGGTTGACATGTTTAGTCCATTTGGTCGATGTTAGGGAGAGTAACCTTAAGTGTTGTCTCTACCCGGACAACTATATAGTTACATATGGCAGGGGCAGTTCATTGTTAGCCTACCGTTAGCTTTAGCCATGCTCTCAGACTCCGCTTTCACCTGTCTTCTGGGGTTGTGGCTTGCTTGCGACAGGGACCACAGCTACTAGCTAGCTTCATAGCTAGTAGCTGAGCATATTTTCAGTATTAACGTTTTTGTTCCAATTTGTGCTTTGGTGTTTGGTTTTCTGTCACATTCCGTGTACCAACGGCGGTCTGCAGAAACTGCACCTCGTTTGTTTTAACACGTAACATTCGCTATTAGCTTAGCTAGCAAGCTAACAGCGGGCTAACTTTAAGGAGACGTCAACGTTTTTGATGACATTTAAATTGGTGTTTACGTTGTCTTGACCCGGGCAGTAGAGCTGTACGTTAACTCCCTGAAGAAAGCCTATCATCGTCTGCTAACGTTTTTCACCACTCGAGTCAAGAACCGGAGCTTTCGTTTCTTTGGTTTGTGGTCATTTGCCTGCCACGATGGCTTCTTCCTCTGGAAACGACGACGACCTCACCATCCCCAGAGCAGCGATCAACAAGATGATTAAAGAAACTCTTCCTAACGTGCGAGTGGCAAACGACGCCAGGGAGCTTGTGGTCAACTGCTGCACAGAGTTTATACACCTCATATCATCAGAAGCCAATGAAATATGCAACAAGTCCGACAAGAAGACCATATCTCCTGAGCATGTCATCAATGGTGAGTCCCGGTCCAGGTTAGCTAACGTTAGTGTCTTGAGTAATACGCCATGCATTTTAAACCACAGAGAGTAATTATTTCGCTTTCACCTCTCGTTTTCACACACAGCTCTTGAGAGCCTTGGTTTCGCATCATACATCACGGAGGTGAGAGACGTCCTGCAGGAGTGTAAAACGGTGGCAATGAAGAGGAGGAAAGCCAGCTCTCGACTGGAGAACCTGGGTATCCCGGAGGAAGAGCTCCTCAGACAGCAACAGGAATTGTTTGCCAAGGTATGATCTAAAAATACAAGTTACTAACTAATCTACAATTATCAGTTCTTCATGTACCGATGTGAATGAAGATACCCATTTTACTGTGCATCCAGTGTAGACTCACTGTATGGTTTAATGCAATATGATTTCAGTTTCCACAATAACATTGTGATTTCAACAAAGGCAATCTTGGTATGTGTAACTGAAGAAGAAGAAGAAAACCTCAAGTTCATTGTATTAGTCCCCTCCCCACCACCACCAGAATTAGATAAAACAACGTGCGATACACTTCATGGAGCAGCAAGTTACTAAGATGACTCTATTGAAATGAGTATTATTGTTATTATAGCACACTAACCTTTTAGCACACCCTCCTATGTGACAAATAAGTTCTTGAACTTTGAATCCTGCTGTGATTCTAAATGTAAAACAACTATAAACGGGCAAAAAAAAAGCATCTGCTCTTTAGTAAGGACCCGTCCCCGTTTCAGGGTCACAATTGAACATGTGCAGTGGCTCTGCGGGGAGGTATGACAGGGTTGTGTGAGGTCAACCTCTTCAGAAATGTCTCTACATACCAGGCCGACATGGAAATAACAAACTGGCTTAGTCTTGCTTGTTTTGTATTTCCTGCGGCAAGAAATGCCGCGCACTTTTGCATGTTGTGATCTAGCGAAGACATTTCCAATGCAAAACATCTCCTTGCTCTGCGGTTGCTCTCTAAGTTAATGGGAGAATATAAACATATCAATTTTGTGCATATCATAAATGCACGATGTCTAATAATGAATGACACACCCATCTCGTAAACTTGCAACACTGCAATGCTAACTGATAAATCGATATCCTTGCAACATCTAATATATAATTCAGCCTCAGTAATGTATCGCAAAAACATATTGTGCTCATTTGTGTTATGCCTAATACATATATATATTTATGAGTTGAAACTATTAGAATTGGTATCTGACCAATATCACCATCGTGATCCTCTCGGTTACTGCAGGCACGGCAGCAGCAGGCAGAGCTCGCTCAGCAGGAGTGGTTACAGATGCAGCAGGCCGCCCAACAGGCACAGATGGAAGCAGCATCTGCCAGCGCCGCCCAGCAGGCTGGTTCCTCTCAGGATGAAGACGAAGAGGATGACATGTGATCCCAGGACGCGGTTCCACTTGTCAGAATCCCCTCCTGGGTCAGTGTTGGCACACAGATCTCCCAGTACTGTCATTGGCAGAGACATGAGACGCGTTTGACCGCTGATACACATCAGTGTAAAATGGATACTGCACATTGTTATGGACAGTGAAGAGAAAAAGGGGGATTTCAAGATGGCCACACATTCAGATACCAGTACCTGAAAATTATTTGGATTGAGAGGCTGTTAATGAAGTTTTTATTAATCTCTTCTTCCCCCTTTTGTTTTCCAGTTGCTTCTGTTTAATTATGTCTTGACATTATGTTGTGAGTAATTCGTAGATTTTTTTGGATGTGTTGTGGACTCACTGATAGGCAAACATTGCCTGGGAAATGTCAGTGAAATTTGGTGATTGTCAGGTACTGCACCAGTTGGCTTACTTTCTTGTTTGTTGTACTAGATCACTTTTGTTGGTTTAGGAGAACTGCTCTAGAATATTTTCAGAGCAGTTGATTCCTCCTTTCTTGTGGTTTAACGGTCATTTTTACAGAGGTTCCCCCCTCGGTATATTTGTTCAACAGAGAATCATTTGAGGGGTTGTGAATATAGGATTTTTTTTTTTAAAGTAGTGAATTTGACATTTTGTTTCATTTTAGCTCATTCAGATACTTTATGTTGCATTTTCTTTCAATGTTGAACCACCCACAGTATTGATAATTAGCCACACCTTTCAGAAACTGAATATTTTTGTCTCATAGAACCAAAGATAGTGGACATACTAACAGCCCACAGTAAGTGTTTTTTAAAGGTGTAGGTGCTACTGTGATTCTCGTCGCTGACTCCCAGTCAGTGCAAACAATGTTAAGGATTATTAACCTTTGACTTTGTAAGATGCTTTGATATCCTGGCTGAATTTGTTATTTCCCTTTTCCTCGGGTGCAGTATCAAACATTTGCGTTGTGACTGGTCAATCCTCAGTGTAGCCTAGTTGTGACACATTCACTCGCCTATGCTACAAGTTGTATTCTTTAAGCAATAAAGGAATCATGTTTTATACACTTTTGTTTTAGATAATTTTTTTTTTAAACCTACAAAATTAAATTTCTGTTTTATTGTTCTGAATGTGAAGACATGATGGTTACACCCCCACCCCCCTCTGCTCTAACTCTGTTTGACGATGCTTTCTGACTCCTGGGAGAGTCAGATGTGTGCGGGCAGGTAGCAGTGGAGCACTTAGACTATTGGGACCACAGGCTTGTAGTCTTGAGTGCCACATTTCCAAATGATCTTTTAAGAATGGCTGGAGCAATCATAGAGAACATGAGCACTAAGAAATTGGTTTTCTTGGGATTCATTTTTTTTGTCTTTCAAGTTCTTTGCATCATGGTTGGAGCATTAATCGGTGAGTAATCTGTTTTTATTTAATTGTTGTAATGAGTGTTTCTAGAAAGTGTAACCTACATGTGGTTTGTGTGTTTTTAAAAGCACACCAAAAATCTTTTTTTCTGTACTTCAAAATTCAAACTATGTCTCTGACAGATTGTTCCCTTTTGCCATAGCTCCTAGTCCCACCAGTGCCATTCGCTACTTGGCCACCAAATGCATTAATTACCACAGGGCTGGCGGCTGGTTCATGCCGTGGGGATCAAATCGATGCCAGCAGATCCACAGTTTTGATGAGCCTCTGGCAAAAAAACTGGATGCCAACAACATTGTTTTTGCGGTGCACATACCTCTTCCCAACACAGAGATGAGCCCCTGGTTTCAGTATATGCTGGCAGTTTTACAGTTCGACATTGCGTTCAAAATGAACAATCAAATTGGTAAGAGCCGTCTTTGTCGGAAGTTCGAAATAGATTGAAGCTACTGTAGTTCTCATGGTGAATATGTAATAAACCAAATCATGCCCCTCTGTGTGTAGAAGATGACGTTACCATCACTATTGATGCTGGCCTGGCATACAGGGATGATTTGATATCTGAGTGGACCGCAAAGTGTCACTCAGTAGAGCAAAGGCCACTTAGGTGCATATTTGCATTCCCTAAGGTAAATCTGCATAACTACTTTAAATACATACAAAAAAAATGATCACATTTGTCTCTGCTGAGTAACCTCTAACTGTCGTGCTTCTGCAGATGTATGAAAATGAAGGCCGCTTTTATCACTGTGAACCCATACCATTCATGGAACTGGGAAGTGTGGCTCACAAATATTTTTTGATTAACCTGCGCTTGCCAGTGAATAACACGGTGAACGTTGGCATTGGAGAAATAAAGGACATCCAAATAGTAGTAATAATTTAACTTGCATTACACAGTATGTTTTTACTGAATTAAATTCAAAGCCTGTTCAGACATTTAATTTCCCTCTTCTCTAAGGGCATCCACCAGAATGGAGGCTTCACTAAAGTGTGGATAAGCATGAAGACGGTCTTCAGTCCCTGGATATTTGGGGCAACAGTTTGGTACTGGCGCAGGATCAGCCTCATGGCAAGACCTCCAGTCCTGTTGGAAAAGTATGAGCCAAAAAGGAAGAATCTCTGAATGTATTTATCAACTGCTTTTCCTCAGGAGCACTAGTAATGCACAGCCACTGCTAAAGTTCCATATGGAAGCCTAAAGTGTTTAATATTAAATAAGTTACACATTATGATAAATATATAATACAATTTTGACAACATTTTTTTCCATATTAGCATTGTTCAACTGACACTTTTACTTCATATCACACTAATTCCTAATGTCAATTGGATTTTGTAAAGAATGTTTGCTGTTAGTTTGCTAGCTGGCAGTTAGTCTGCTGGTCAACTGGGGGCATGCGATTGGCTGAAAGATGAGTGGATGAAGAAAGTGACAACTAAAAACTAACATTGCTAGAAGTGACATTATGAAAAGTAAAATAATGAAATGGAATCCAAATGTCACCGGGAAATTAAATTCATTTTGAAATATATTTTCCTTAATAAAATAAATATGAATCCATTGAAACCTGACAAAAAAAGTCAGAATAATAAGTTCTTTTAGTCATTTCTAAAATTATTTCACTATTTATTTTATCTTTTTAATATTAAGCACTTCAGGCCTCTATTCTATCCCTTCATCTGTGCATCTGTAAGGCCTTTTTTTATTGCAGTCTGAAGATATAATAAAAAAAAAAGGTAGAGTGAGGTTATACAACATGGCTCTATTGCTCACGTTGAAGGTGAAACTCTGAGTGCAGTCCAGGCTCTTTAGTGATTAAGAGCGAGCTTAAAGCCACAGGTAAACCTTCTGTCGTGTACGGAGCTTCAGGCTGGCATGTGGAGAGCAGGGGAAATGAAAAATGCTTGATCTTAAGTGCACGATTGGCCTGGTAGAACCAGGTCAATACTCTGCTCGGAGCAGAAAGGTACTTGTATTTTAAGAGTGCGTGTAAGTTATGCTATGTACCTGTGTTGTACAGGGTGATTTTTGTTCTGGGTACCTCTATGACATTCCTGAACATGCCGGTCGAGTGGCTCTCCCTGGGTTTTGAGTGGACGTGGATGCTGCTGTTTGAAGATATTCAACAGGGCGTCTTCTACTCCACGCTCTTCTGTTTCTGGATCATATTCTGTGGTGAACACCTCATGGTTAGCGCCTTGTACTTGTTTCTTAAGCGTTCATTTCTCCACACTTTCCTGAAAGTTATGCAGTTTATTTCAACAATTCCTTTAGGAACAAAGTCAGAGGAATCGGCTGTCAGCGTACTGGTGGCAGGTTGGGCTGATAGTGTTCGGCTCATCTGTTCTCCTCATTTTGACCTGAGTGAAAGGTAATGGACACGGTTTCTTTTGATGGGGTCTATTGTGTTATGGTTATATCTTTCTTTAAATATGAATGTGCTTCATGTCTTGTATAGGGGGGTTCATTTGACCAACCCTTTCTACAGTGTGTGGGCATCAGAAATTGGGTCAAAAGTGGCAGTATCCTTCAGATTTTATACTACAATTTAAAAAAGATTTTGCCCTCTAAGAACATTAAATGTAGCTCTCTCTGTGTCATCCAGGGCTTTTCCTTGACTGTGATGACAGATTACCTTCATTATTGTGGCAGGGATTTCTGTTTGTCTGTATTTCCTCTCCCTGTGTGGCATGGTGCATTGTGTCTTTAGGAACATTGGTGGGAAAATACAGCAACTTCCTGCAATGCCAGAAGCTAGGAGACTGCGGTATAAGGTTTGATTTTTGTATTTTAGTATCTGAATCATAAATAAAACTAAAACACTGGCAGAAAAAACTACTTTTATACAATGGATGAAACAATATTCTGGCTGTGTTCCCACTCTTGCTGGTTTTGACAGGGTATAATCCTCAGGTTCCAGTTTTTGATGCTGGTAACTCTAGCCTGCGCAGCCATGACTGTCATCTTCTTCATCTTAAATCAAGTAAGTTTCACCCTTCTAATGATCAACACAGAAGTCTTAACTACTGGTTTTATGACAGTTACATTGTTAATTACAGTTGTGACACATTTTGGCTCTTAAAAATGATTCTAACTTCTTATTTTTCACCAGGTCAGTGATGGTCACTGGCACTGGGGAGACTACACTCTCCAAGTCCACAGTGCTTTTCTCACAGGAATCTATGGCATGTGGAACCTTTATGTTTTTACCATTATCTTCCTCTATGCCCCCTCCCACAAGCACTACAGACTGAAGTCAGGAGACAGTCAACAAACAGGTCTGTAACACTGTAACATTTGAGTTCATAGTTAGAATCCAGTATTGAAATGAAAAAATAAAAACAAATGAAAAGAATCATTTGATTGGTAAACATATCAGACATGTTCCATAGCAGCAGCTGCTTGTCTAAGATTATATTCACTATTGACAGATATCCTGGAGATGCCAGAAAACCAAGAGAGCCGGGTGACATGTGGAGAGCAGGGACCGACAGAGACCTACAGGATCACTGGGAGGTGGCTGAGGAGTAACTGCACAACAGAATAACACAACAGTTTTAACCACATTCTAGCAAATGTGGCTGCAAATGTAGACTGTCTAGAACAATGTAGTGAAATTTATGTTACTTAAAATGTACATGATAGGGAAAGTGAAAGTTATAGGAAGATTCTGTATGAGAAAATTTGAGGCTAGATTAGTGGGGCAACTTCCACAAAGCCCCAGAACACCAGGGGCCTAATTGGTAATTGAACTGTTGTAACTTTGCTAATCATAGTTTTGTTTGGTAAGTAATATCACTGCTAAATGTTGAAGGTTAAGGTAGGGAAAAGGAATTGTCAAATACTATTGATGATGGGACATGGAAAAAGATCTGGAATCATGCTAAAAAGACATCAATTTGCACCCGAATGAAGGCAATACAGTTTAAAATTTTTCGTAGAACCCATAAATCTCCTAATCACAGTCACTCCTTTAACCCTTCCCCTGTGTCTCAAATGTAAAGTGGAGGTGGGAACATTGACTCATTGCTTATGATCATGCAGAGATACTGGTGGGAGGTGCTGAGGCAAGAAATGGAAAAGGACCAAATTGGAAATGGACCCAGTGTCACTGTTATTGGGCCTTCCAAATAGGCATATAAATACAGCAGCTAACAAGAGACTGTATAGTATAAGTTGACATTCTCTGCCAAAATCCTATTAATGTCTGTGTGACTGTCTGTGTTAAAAGTCCAATAAAAAAAGGGTATATAAAAAAACATTTTTATTCATCCCCACTTAATTGTCATTGTGAACACTACAGCATGGTTAAATGTTTCATGGTAATAATAGTATTGGGATATTACCATATATTAATAGGGATCCTTTTATGTGTAATTTTTTTTTTAATAGTCTAATTTTTATTTTTATCTTTCTAAAAAAAAGTGTAATTAATTGATGTTGACTTACTTAATTTATACAGTTGTAATTTGTGGAGGTGTGTAATGTAACACACTGTACCTGGAGAATTGTAAAAACTATTTTTTCTTTTGGTTTATTTACACTAGTTTTTATGGGCAGAATAAGAACTCCAAAAATATGTTCAATCCTTATTAATTGAGCTCACACATGGTGCATTCAAACTAGTGTTTTTTAATTATTGTGGCAGTGCACATTATTTTAAAATAAACAACATAAGCTATAAGTCATGTCTTTGTTAGTACTTTAGAAGGCTCATTAAATTGTTTGTTCTAAATGACATTAAATTATGCAACTGCCAGGAATTATCTTGGTTACCAAAGTGTCATTCAGCCTTTTATTTATAATATCTGTCCTTATCTGTCATGATTAGGCCTACAACAGTTTGAAAAGATGAGACCACCTCTTAGCTGCTATAATATCAGACAGCAGGCAAGTCTTTGTTTTGGCTTTCTGGCCATGTAAGCTCCCACTTGAATTCTAGTTGTGTGTGCTACTAATAACATTAACGACGACTCTGATTTATTCACATGTCCCAGTAAGCCATGACTGTGTGACAGTGAGCAAGATTGTCCCTCTAAACACCTCGCATAGTTTCATTTAACAGTTTAAGGCTCACTGAGGTACATTTCTACAAAAAAGTACAGATTCCATTCTAATATGTATTTTTGATTCTTTCCTCTCCCATTAAACATCTCACCACCCATCAGGTTTATCTGCAACTTGAAGATTGGCATCCCAGCGAATTAATATGTAGGGCAATAATGCAGAAAACAGCTGTCTTTTGTCTAGGACATCTCAAACCAAAAGTCCCAAAATAAAGGGATGGTTAATGATGATTCTGTTGCCATTCAACAACTACAGCTCCCATGAGGCTCTAAAGTGTACTGATGACTGAAAATCATGGGATATGTTGTTGTTGAATGCAAAAAAGATGGATGAAGAAATTCTCTGAGAGAAAGATACATATGATTTAAATGGACACCTACCTGCCAATCAGAAACCAGCTCTTTTCAAGTACATACACCCCTGCCCTAAGCCCTCTGATTACCACTGTAATAAACCACTTCCTCCAGTCTGGTAATGTTCCATCTGCCCTTAAAACTGCCATAATCAGACCACTGCTGAATAGACCAACCCTTGAGCCAGATGCACTTACAAATTACAGGCCCATTTCCAATCTCCAGGACCACCAACCAGGGCTGTTTCTGCTTACAGCACAGAAACAGCCCTGGTTAGAGTCACAAAAGACCTACGAATGGCAGCTGATGCTGGCTCACCTTCCCTCCTCATAATCCTCGATCTGTCTGCTGCTTTTGACACTGTGGATCACGGCATACTTCTCAACCGGCACAGTCACCTGCGGAGTCCCCCAGGGGTCAGTTCTTGGCCCTATCCTCTTCATCATTTACATCCTCCTACTCGGCCACGTCATCAGTCGCCATGGAGTCTCATTTCACTGTTTTGCTGATGACACACAACTGTATGTGAAATCTGACTGCAGCTTCACCAACATCATCATCGTCTTAAACACTCACCGCCTGTCTGGAGGAGATAAAGGTGTGGATGAAACACAGCTTCCTCCAGTTGAACAGCTCCAAAACTGAGGCAGTTCTTGTTGGCACCTCACATCAAGTCCAGTCATCCTCCATAACCGGTATAACTAGCTCTGGTCGAGACATTCCCCTCTCCACAACAGTCACCAACCTTGGTGTAAGATTTGATCCACAACTCACCTTTGAAGCCCATATCAAAAATCTCTGCAAGATCTCCTTCTATCATCTCAGAAATATTGCAAAACTCTGTTCTACACTCACCTTAGCTGATGCTGAAAAACTGGTCCACGCCTTTGGTCTCCTCCAGACTGGATTACTGTAACGCACTTCTCATCGGGATCCCTGCAGAAACTGCAGTATGTTCAGAACAGTGCTACAAGGATCCTGATGAGAGTGCAAAAGTACGACCACATCACACCCATTCTCCATTCACTTCACTGGCTTCCCGTTTCTGCTATTGAATACAAGGTCTCACTTCTCACCCACCAGGGCATCTATGGAAATGCCCTCCCCTACCTGAAAGAACCACTCACCCCTCTCACTACAACACGATCCCTCCGCTCAAAAAACTCAAACTGCCTCCTAGTCCCTAGAACTAAGCTCAGCACCATGGGTGATCGTGCCTTCTGCTCTGCCGCTCCTCGGACTTGGAATGCCCTCACTGACCATCTGAGGGCACCACAGACTATTGAGACTTTTAAAAAAGCTAAAAAATTTAAAATTTAAAATAAATTTATTTTTAGCAGAACTTAACCCAATAACTTGCACAATAATGTTGTTGCACTATTTATCTATATTTTACACTGATATTTTTGCCTTGCTTTTATAATCTTACCTGTAGCACTTTGAGGTTTGTCTGTAAATGTAAAGTGCATTACAAATAAAATGTATATATTTATTATTATTAAAATGGCAGGTGATTTCTTTTCAAATAATGACATCAAATTCATTTTACATCATCTCAGGTTCAAACTTCAGACAGAAGAGAGATTTCTAATACATAACATAATGGGAGAGAAAAGAACATACAGTGTCAAGTATTTTGTTTTATTTATATAGCCCAATATCCAATATCACAACTCACAAATTTACAATCTGACCAGCATATGACACTTTCTAGTGCCACAGGTGTGGGAATTGTAGGTCAGACTGAATCAACAGTCTGAAGGATCACCTCTGACTAAAAACTAATAACACATTTATAAGAAATGATGATATTGGTAGATGAAGAGACATGTCGTCCACAGAGCCATGACCCGGAAACATGTTAGATGGTTGTAGTGCTGACTGTAGCCACTCAAGGTAGACATAGTGTTTCTGTGTCCTGGTCCGGGTATTGTAAACAGTCATTGTGAAATAAA